AATGACAGCCCCACCGCTGTGGGAGGCTTGCAGGGCCCACCCCTCCCACATCCTCCATGTGCACCTCACCACATCCCTCATAGCACTGACTGAGGTATTGAAGAGGCTTTCCTGTGTGTGTTCTACAGGCAGAAAGCAAACAACAGCAGCAACATGGCGTCTGCATCACAGGGTTGGGTGACCCCGACTATCTGCTCCTCAGGGGAAATTGCCCAAGTTCATTGTATTCTTTTACTGAGCTATTAGCATGGCTCAATTGACTATAACAACACACTGCATTTGCTGGAAAGTTTCCCTCTGTGGATTCCCTGTTGAAATCATTTTTTCCCTTCCCTTCCCTTCCCTTCCCTTCCCTTCCCTTCCCTTCCCTTCCCTTCCCTTCCCTTCCCTTCCCTTCCCTTCCCTTCTTTCTCCCATCCCCTCTCTTCTCTTTTTTCCTTCCTTCCTTCCTTCCTTCCTTCCTTCCTTCCTTCCTTCCTTCCTTCCTTTCTGAGACAGAATTTCTCTGTGTAGCTCTGGCTGTCCTGGAACTCACTTTGTAGCTCAGGCTGACCTTGAACTCAGAGATCTGCCTACCTCTGCCTCCCGAGTGCTGGGATTAAAGGTATGTGCTCACCAACACCTGGCTGTGATGCTCATATTTTTAAAAAGATTGATTTTATTGTATGTGTATGCATCTTAGTCAATGTTCTATTTGCTGGCAAGAGACATCATGATCACACAAATCTCATAAATGAAAATATTTAATTGGAGCTGTTTACAGATTCAGAGAGGATAACTAGCAACTAGCTGACCTTGCTTTTTGGCAGGTTTTGCTGCAAAGGACATGTCTCTTCCCTTGTCCCAGAACCAAGAGGAAGCTCAAACTCCAGTCCCTGCCCCTTCCTTCCTGCATCTTCTCTATCCAGATTGCTGGCTTCTCTATGGGCAATTCCAGTCGGTGTAACTTTATTGGGCAGTCTTGGGAGTGTCAGAGCTTGATCAAAACCTCCCACAACAAAGTATGTGTGCGTATCTGAGTATATATATATGTGCAACACGTGCATGCAGTGCCTGTGGAGGCCAGAAGAGGGCATCAAATACCCTAGAGCTGGAGTTACAGTTATGAGCTGTCATGTGGTGCTAGGAACCCCTCTTTGGTCCTCTGCAAGAGCAACAAGTGCTCTTAACCTGCTGAGCCATCTCTCCAGGTCCAGCAATCTCCATTTTAAAAAAAATTTCACTATCTTTTTCTGTTTTTACAGACTCACTATATAGCCCAGGCTGGCCTTGAACTTGCAGTCCCCCCGCCAAGATTACGAGTCTGCATGATTATGTCCAGCTTTACTTTCTTTTTTGATGATTTGCAATTTTTATGCTACTGCTCTTGTCCCTTTCCATTTGACTTTGAATTTTTATTGCACTTATTTGTTTCTGTGAGCATTTGCATCCTCTCTATCTGTGTAGGACAGAGGACAACTTGAAGGAGTCAGTTTTTTCCTTCTGTCCTGTGAGTTACCAGGAATTGAACTCAGGTCACCGGGCTTAGCGGCAAGCACCCTTACCCACTGAGGCAACCTATTGACATGTTAGCACCCCAATTTTTGTTTTATGTTTCGTTGGAACTCACTGTGTCATTTAGACTGGCCTCAAACTCAAGGCAATCCTCCTGCCTCTGGCTCCAGAGTGCTGGAATTACAAGTGTGAATTGTCACAACTCACTCTTTAAATTATTTTTTTTTTTCCAGTGACTTTAAAGAATCGTGCTGGAAAGATGGCTGAGCAGGTTAAGGTCCTTGCTACACATGTTTGAGTGAGTTGGATCCCCAGAATGTAAAAAGCTGGATGATGTAATGCCCATCTGTTGCCCAGAACTCCCTCAGTGAGATGGACAGCAGAGACAGGAGAACCCACTTGGAGCAAAGACGACCCAGCCACAGCAAGATGGCAGTCAAGAGCTGACCCCTGACCTCTACAGGTGCACTGTGTGCCGTGGTAGGCCCATGTGTGTGCATGCACACACAAATTAGGAAAGAACCTATTTCTCCCGGTGCTTCATATAAATACAACTATATATGAGTGTATATGTATACATATATTTCCAGGTTGTTTATTCTCTTTCTTTTTTTTCAGACAGGATCTTGCTATATAGTTCTGGCTGGTCTCGAATTTACAGAGGTCCACCTGCCTTTCCCACCATACCGAGCCAGGTTGAAGCTTACATTTAGTTATCTGTTAATAGAAATTGTTTAGATATGTCTAGTTTTAGTCTCTAGAAGGGAATATCAGGGAATTCATATTTCCAGCCACTTTCGGGAAAGTGCATGACAGTGCTTACGAGATGGAGGCAGGAGGATCAGAAGTTCAAGGTCATCCTTGGCTCCACACTGTGTTCACAGCCAGCCTCAGATACATGGGACACTGTCCAAAAGCAAGTAACCAGAAGACAAGTGAACTGTTGTAATAGACTGCGCTGACTCGGAGGCTCAGATGGGTGGACCCGATCCTGTGTCATGTAGCTCCACATCTCAGGATGGAATTTTACCTGCTCTCTGTGATCCCAAACACCTGAAAAAGATTTATTTCTACCCAAGCCTCAAAATTATCCAGGACTCTCTCTCTCTTTTTTTTTTTCTGAGACAGGGTTTCTCTGTGTAACAGCCCTAGCTGTCCTAGAACTAGCTCTGCAGACCAGGCTGATTTTGAACTCACAGAGATCCGCCTGCCTCTGCCTCCCGAGTGCTGGGATTAAAAGTGTGTGCCACCACCACCCAACCCAGGACTCTTTTTTAAAGATAAAAATTTAATAGTTACTGACCACCCACCTTTTAATTAAGACATTATTTTTTCTAGAAACTTCCAGAAACGGTTAATAGAGTCTCAAAACCATCTGATACAGAAGGTATCATTATTATCTCTGTTAAAATGAGGACACACTAGGACTTAAAATATATGAGATTTAGAGCCAGTGAGATTGCACATCGGATAAAAGTGCCTGCTGCCGAGCCTGATAATCTGAGTTTGAGCTCTGGAGCCCGTGTGGTGGAAGGAGAGAACTAACTCTTGCAGGTTGTTTGGATCCCAAACGTGCTGTGGGGTGAAGGAGACCACATATATATGTGCACACATGTATAAAATAAATACACGGAAAATATGAGATTTGCTCAGGTTGAGCCAATAGGTAATGGCACCAGCAGGGATATTTATGTATTTATTTACTATTTATCTTATTTTGTTTTTGGTGCTGGGGATGGAATCCAGGGCATTGTGCATGCTCAGTCACTGAGCTGCACCCCAGCCCTAAAGACCTTTAAGGTTTTTTTTTTTTTGTCTTATTTTGTTTTTGTTTTCAAGATAGGGTTTCTTTGTGTAGTCTTGGCTGTCCAGAACATAGCTCTATACACCAGGCTGGCCTTGAACTCACATGTGTGCAATGCCCTCACAGTCCAGAAGAGGGTGATGGATCCTCTGAAATCAGAGTTACACACAATTATGAACTGCTGTGTGGGTGCTAGGCACCCATCCCAGGTCCTCTGCAAGAGTAGTAAGTGTTCTTAAGTGCTCAGCCTTCTCCCCAGCCACCACACCACAACGGGAACATTTTGATAGAATATGTTTAGTAACTTTTTTGGCAGTGTAATAAGACAAGACTTCCCGGCTTCCTGAGTGTCCTGGGCAGCAGGCAGGGCTGGTACTGGAAGGTTGGGAGGTTAGCACAGGGCATAACAGCCCAGCCGTATTTCTCGTGCCTTTGTATTATGGTCAAACAAGCTTAGGGTAGCTAAACAAGGGCTCCGTGGTTTTGTTTCTTAAGAGAGAGTGACCTGAGAGTGGAGGGCATTTCTAGAACGCAACGCTGAGACTTCTTTCCTGGGCTCCTGGAGAAGGCAGGGCACTGTTCTTAGGGCCACTCTGTTGTGGAGCATTGCTTTGTGTAAAGGCGGGTTACATTCATTTCTGAGCTTCTGTTAGTGATGCAAAGACGTGTTACATTTGTTTGATTTAAATAAAATTAACCTGGGGTCAGGAGACTGAGTCAGCAACTAGCAGACAGGAAGTGGTAGGGAGGCTATGCAGAGAAAGCCTTTCTTGAAAAACTAAAAACAAAAACAAAACACAAACCAAAACCAAAACCCAGAAAATACAAACCAAGTCAAACAAACAAAAAACAACAACAAAAAAACACCCAAACAAACAAACAAAAAACCCCACAAAACCAACAGCAGAACTCGGGCTGATGTGCCAGACATAATCTTTGTCTAAATAAAGCTGAATTTTATTCTGTAGCAAAACGAATGATGATGGTGACGATGATGATGATGATGGTGGTGATGGTGATAATGTTGATGGTGATAGTGATGATGATGATGGTGATGCTGATGATGATAATGATGAAAGAGAATGGGACTTGGGAATTGTGGTGATCTGACAGAAATGTCCCCATAGGCTCAGATGTTTGAACATCTGGTCCCCATTTGGGTGCTGTTTGGAGAGGTTCTGGAACCTTCAGGAGGTGGAGGCTTCCTGGAGGAAGGACTCTTTGCCCACTTTCGGTTTGCTCTGCTTCCTGATGTGATGACTCAGCTTCCTGTTCCTGCTGCCATGCCTCCCCGCCATGATGGATTCTTACCCCTCTGGAGCTGTATGTTGCTTTTGGCCACAGTGTTTTAGCACAGTAACTGAAAGGGGTGTGGCTCTGCGGTAGAACATTCGGGGCTAGTGAGATGGCGGGTCAGGGCACCTGCTGCTAAGTCTGTCAACCCAAGCTTGATGCCAGGCACCCACATACATGGTGGAAGGAGAGAACTGACCCCCAAAAGTCCTCTGGACATGTGGGGCACACACACACACACACACACACACACACACACACATTCACACAATATAAAACCTTAGTTCCTCAGTCACACTAGCCATGTTTAGAGTGTTCACTAACCACGTGTGGATGGCAGAACTGACATGGAACATTCTACTAGGCAGCTGCTGAAGTATTAGCTGAACACAAGACTCAAGCTCCAAAGTACTGCTTGGAATTTTAATTAAATACCGCTTTATAATGTTATCTGCACACAGTACACACATTCTTTGTGAACTAACACATGCTGTATTAGTTTTGATGTTAACAAAATATAAGCATCTATAGACTATATTCTAGAGTGACTTCATTTACACGGTGCCTTCACTGTCAGTTAGGGCTGGGTCACATTTGAAATTTGCAAGGCTGCAGGGGTGGGCAGGGCCCAGTCCTTCTCTGATGGCCATTAGTACAGTACCCTCAAGTTGGCTGGGTCCACCAGAAAGGCTCTCCCCGCACCCAGTACTCAGTTGCACACTGATGCCCCAAGCCCCGGTGCTGAAAGTGAGGGTGTCATCAGGCGGCAGTGTGGGGCCAGGGCTCCCCTCTTCTCAAGCAGCATCCACACGAACATTTGTTCTAATGTCTATTCAGGGACCCAGAACCCCAGGCTGAAGATCAGAGAGCCAGAGTGGGGGTGGGAGAGGAAGACAAGAGAACAAACCAAGTTGAACCCACAGTTGGTGACCTGTTGGAGGTGCCTCGGGGCTGGGAAGAGGCAGCGGTGTGACATTTAATGTTGCCAGCAGAGTTCAGCTGGGAGCTGGACAAGGTAGTACTCGGCCATAATCCCAGCACTCCTGAGGCTGAGGCAGGAGGACTGAGAGTTCAAGACCAGCCTGGGCTACATATTTAACGCCTATCTTCAGGGTGAGGATGGGAAAGAATGGGAGTGGGTAGGTGCTGTTAGAGCCAGGAGTGAAACCAGTCAGGGCTGTGGGTAGGAAGTGTGCAGCCCTGTAGTCAGCTGACTATCTGATGACACCTAGGGGCAAATCAAGGCTTCTAGGACAGGGTGGGAACTCTGGAAACAGGTCTCCCACGGCCCTGCCCCATCTCCACTCAGGAGCTCAAAGGCCTTTCTGCTCATCTCTCACGGTTCAACTTGTAAGATGGTGGCCACCATTCTCAGCCTAGAAGCCATCGCGTTCCTGGGTGGCACTGCCCACCTCTTTTGCATTTGACTGCAGTTCCAGTGTACCTGTATCTCAGGTTGGCCAGGGCTAAACAGCCCACAGAAGAGGGAAGGGAGGGGCAGAGGGAGGCTGGGCACACATGCCACTCCCAAATGATGGGTGCCCACCTGGGTTGCCATGCTTAACCTCTCTGCTCACCCGCTTCCCGATCCCTGTCAGCTTCAGACCTCCCTTCCGCTACGCACCCCAGAACAGGTACTATCAGAACAGAAACAAGATCTGATTTTAATTCTGCTCCTAGGGACCTGGGGCCTGACCCTGAGGGTGACTTAATACTCCATCTCCTGCCCCTGCTTCCCCCCCCCCCAATCCCACCCCAGAACAGGGTTTCCTTTCCAGTAGGTGCTGGCCCTGCTAGCCTCTTCCTCACAAATCTTCTGTGGCTCCCGCACTCTCTGGAACACATGCCTCCGACAGGTAGTTAAGCCTCGCTAGGAGTCTGTCTTCACTGCTCCTCTTGCTTTGAGACAGGGTCTCACAGGCTAGCTCAGGTTAGCCTAGAACGTGTGGCAAATCCTCCTGGAGGAAAGAAAAAAGCCTCCCAGGTGCCGGGACCACCAGTGTGAAACCATCTATGACTTCCATTGCTCTTCTTCTTTCTTCTTTTGGGTTTTTTGAGACATGGCTTCTCTTTGTAGCCCTGGCTGTCCTGGAACAGTAGACCAGGCTGGCCTCAAACTTAGAGATCTGTCTGCGTCTGCCTCTGCCTCTCGAATGCTGGGATTAAAGGCGTGCAGCACCACGCCGGGCCTCACTGCTTGTCTTTTGAGGCTCTTTGACAACCCTGGCTCCAATCTCTGACTTTGCAAAGCTGCCCGTTCCCTTGAGAGCTCTCTAGTCTTAGCTACACTTGCCAGCACCCATGAATGCATGAAAATCACCTCCACTTCTGAGCACCCTCTGAGTACTGGGACCAGCCTCACGAAGGCCTCTGTGTCTATCCTTCTCTGCATCACAGCCTGCCCCAGAGGGCAGAGCTCTGTGCGTGTAGTTCTGTGAGCTAAACACATGGTAAAAAGCCCTTCAGTGTGGCTGAGCCATGGAGCCTTTGCTCTGCCGCCGTCTCTACCTCAGGCATGTAAGCCACAATACAGACGTGGTCAAGAGGAAATACAGACGTGGTTATGGACTCTGTGCCAGATGGCGTCATTCTGTTTGGGTGTGAAGAGCTGTGGCGAGGATGGCTTATCAACACTGACCTATTAACACTGTCACCTTAGAGCGGGGTTTACTGGGTAGAGACTGCCCTAGGTCCTCTGGGGCCATCCAGCTTGCCTGCAGAACCCAGAGAGGGTAAGAAAATGGGAGGTGTGAATCTTCTGGCAGGGTTGTGTAGACACTCTCTGGATTTAGTGGCCCATGAGGAGGTTTCTAAGGGAGTAGGCTTTCTGGGTTCTGGGATTCAAGATCTCCTGTGATGCCCACTAATAATGCAGAATCTTGGGTCCTACTCCAGGTCCCAAGTCAGGTCACTAGAGCTGGAGTGAGAAACCGGCATTTTAAACAAACTCCTATGGGATTCGGATGCCCTTAAAAGCCTGCAAGCCTCTGCCTGCCACTCTCAAATGTGCACATCGGTCTGGGAATGGGGGTGAGGGTGGGGAGCTAACCATGATACAGACAAGGAGAAAGCTGCAGACCTGTGTGTGAGAAACGCCTGCTCAGCCTGGACCCAGCTCAGGGCCGGAGACCCAGGTGCTCCATTGATGGGAAACAGGTGGTGAAGCTTAGCTAGTTAGCGGTCTACAAGGAACGGAAGGGGAGGAGATGGAAGCGGATCTGTGTGAGGGCTCCGGACTCTTCCCAGGAGCCAGGTGTGCCAGAGGAAGAGTAGTCTGTCCTACTCGGGCCTCAGCACATCCCGCGAAGCTGGCAGGAAAGTCACCGGGCCAGAAATCACCAGGAATCTATCAGTTTGAAGCAGAGAGGGTTGAAAGCCCCCTCCCCTTGCCTTACTCCTGTCCCCCCTCACCCTCTGTTTGCTCGACTTCTTTGGAGGGAGGAAACAATGAACTAATCTTCACAGGACTTGAACCAAGCCGGTTTCCAGAGCAGGCCCAGCAGGAACTCACCAGCAGGTCTTCATAGAAGGAAGGCCCATGATACCACAAGGTGCAGACGACAGCTTGTTCCACTCAGGGCTGGCCCTGCTGGGCTCAGCAAAAGGGACACCAATATAGTCACAGACTCATGAGTGTGCCAGGTAGAGCTGAGGCATGCGTGTTGGTAAAGTAAGACCGCCTGTGGAGGTCTCCAGCCTTTCGCTGGATGTATAAAGAGGGGGCTGACTCTGTCTTGCCTTTGCTCTAGGGAATGTGTGGTAGGCTGCAGCCACTACCTAAGCTCACTCAACCCCCACTGGGCTAACCTGCCATACAGCCCACCTGGCATGCTCCCCAACTACTTGAAATGTCTTCCAAGGCCAAGGACATTGAATGGCTCCTCTGCCAGAGACAAGGGCCTCCCAAGATCATCTTACAGAGTTCTCTGTTTAAAACCAGGATACTTGAAAGGCAGGTTGGACAAAAGGGCGGAGCCATGGGGGGCGGGGCTGTGGGCAGTTATGCCCCCAAGGGAGGCAGATCACTGCTTGTTGGTGTGCTCCAGGACACGGTAGGGAACCCCAGGGGTGCTTTTGGAGCTGTGCTCCTCCTGCATGACGGGCAGTGTGGCCGGGGTGTAGATCTCAGAAATGCTGTCATTGTTTTCCAAGGCCCCGTAGGAGAAAGAAGCTTTGAGGTCGGGCTGGACCGTCGTTCCCTTTGCATGCATGTCCGGCATACCTGTAATGACATCCACGGCCCCAGTCATCACGCGGGAAGGGAGGCTGAAATTCCCGCGCTCCCCCCACAGACCCTCCCAGAGCTCAGGAGCCGATCAAGCGCAGTCCTGATTCCCCAGCTGCTTTAGAGTTAAGAGGAAACGCTCCTGTTTACACAGCAGGAAGGAAGGTGTTGGCGTCCTGAGTGGCAGGTGGGCAGGGCAGGACACCGTGCCCCGGACGTGGTAGATGCCACTTTGCTGTTGAATCAACTCAGGGATCCAGGAAGCTTACTTAGCATTGAGGAAATAGGGCGACTTTTGTACCCTGGAGACTCAGCAATGAGAGTAGCTTTGTGATGACTGGAGGGAGTGTTTGACCTTTGACCTGATATTCCATATCTCTAGGTAGGGCGAGGTCTGATTTCCATTACATTTATGGGAAACAAAGACCCAGTGTTGTTGTTGTTGTTGTTACTGTTGTGTTATTACTGTTTTGAGAGACAGGGTCTTTCTTTATAACCCTGGCTGACCTGGAACTTTCTAAGCACATCATCACGTTGAATTAACTGTCTCTGCCTCCCAGATGCTAGGGTTAGAGGCCTGTGCCGCCAATGCCTGGCTTAAGGAACGTAATCTTCAATTCCTGTGACCTTTTCTTACAATCCCTCCAGGAGATCACGTGGGGGCCAACTCGTTCCCTAACTAAATGCCAAGTGTCTCCTGCGAAAGGATGGGAACAGCTGGTCTCTCACTGCCTGGCACACCCTCCGCACTGGGCTAACACTACACGGCTGGAGACCAACGCCAGCAGTAATGTCTGTGGCTGAGGTGTGCTGGCATTTAGAAGGTAACATATGCTGTTTCAAATGTTCACCCAATTTTGTCTCATCTGATCCGTGAGGCCATGGAGAAGGAACAGAGAGCCGCAAGCAACTTACCCGAGGGCCACAGCTGCAGAGAGGCAGTGGTAGTGTTTAGCACAAGGTTGTTTAAACTCGAAAGCCTATGTTCTTAACTGGAGTGGTACGGGGCCTCCCTACAGACTGAACGTAATCCCTAAACAACCTTAGGACAGAGAGAAACTAGTACCCTCACGTCCAGGATAATAAGACAGGTTCCAGGAGGAGCAGCTCGCCCAAGGTCATCCAGCCAAAGAGCAGCTGGGACCCAGCCTGGGAGCCTGAAGCTTTAACATCAGCTGGAGAAGGCCTCTAGCCTCCATGTGATGCAGACACAATGGATGGTTGTCTCGAGGACCAGTTTACGAGTCTGTGGTCTGTGCTTGGACTGTGGCTCCATCAGCAGAGGGCATGCCTGCTTGCCCAGCACACACAAAGCTTTGGTTTGGATCCCAGGCACCACATAAAATCAGGCATGATGGCCCATCCCTGTAATCCTAGCATTCAGGAGGCAGAAGCAGGAGGTTCAGAAGTTCAAAGTAATCCTCTGTCATATAGAGTCCACAGCCAACCTGAGCTACACAAGACCCCGTCTTTAAAAAAGTAAGTTTATGGTTTGGGGCTCATGGGCGTAGCAGGGCAGGTGAATGTGTCTGCTACTCAGGGGAGAGTTAGTTTACTGAGCACTGCATAGCTTTGAATTTTGTCAGTGCCTCCAGCTCTATGCCAAGAGTGTGATGGGTATGGGTTTGCATCGTAGAACATGGAGTGTTAGGGATATCTACTAGGGGGTCTTAGGTTTGGGTTGGGGGACCTGAGGAGGGCTCAGGTTTTGACACTGTTGGGAAATGGGATGCTTCTGTCCGTGGAGACCTGATTGATTCTCTTTTAGAAGACTGGACAAGGCTCAGGCTGTGACATAAATCAGCATTAACTAGCACGCAAGCCAGTCTAGGAACAGCACCTCTGCTTTCTGTGGTTTGGACAGTGGCCATACTTGGTCTATGCTCAGACATGGTAACAGAGTGTTCCTGTCCATATAGACACCTATTCAGACGAGCATGGCTCGACTGATGAGGCCCTGAGGAGTGGTTTCTAGTGGGCCAAGGACCACAGAGCCCGTGGAGGCTCCCTTGATCCTGACAGTCAGGGCTGCTGTTCTCTTTATCCATCTAAGAAAGCCCCTCTAGCTGTGATGTATCCTGAAGTCCTGGAATCTAAAGACAGCAAACCAAACGACAGTCAAAGGCCAGATCCCATGACCAGAGAAAGCAAGTAACTGGAGAAGTGGTTCTGTTGATGACCATGCGAGTCATGTGCTAAAATCCTGGATGTGTGTGTGTGTGTGTGTGTGTGTGTGTGTGGTGTGTGCACACACACAAATGTGCCTGTGCGTGCATGTGGAGGCTGGAGGTCGATGCTGAGTGTCTTCCTTGATCACTCTCTGCTTTAGATTGTCTTAAGCCAGGGTCTTTCACTGACCCTTGAGCACACTGATTAGTTACACTGCCCCCACCAGCACTAGGACTCCAGACATGCGCTGCTGGGCCAGGTCCAGATGTGGGTGCTGGGGATCCATGCATGGGGTCGCACATTTGCAGAGCAAGTATTTATGCACTGAGCCATCTACTCAACCCAAAACTTCAAAGTTTTTAAAGGAAAATGGAAGCAAAGGCAAAACTAGTCAGGCATCTACCACATCCCAGACACTGTGCCCACAACCTTGACACATGCACCCCGTAACCCAGAGATAAGAGTGAGGATGAGAGGCCTTGACACGTCTTATGGGGGAAGGTGGCAGAGGGCAGAGTTTGAATGTGAATCGAGCCATGTGAACTCTATGTGTCCAGTAGGATTGTCTCAACTTCGCTAGGACAAGGTCTTCGATCTTCAGTGCCTCATTTCCTACTGAGGTCACGAGGTACAAGAGCCACACCCACAAACTGGTCATAGAATCCTGGTTTCTAGGACCAGCCGACGTCCCCCCCTACTTCCCATCAGAGAAGTGTACGTATGCACACAGGGACATGTGTATGGACAGACACACAGTTTATAAACGCACAGACACACGGGGACATACACATACTCGCACACAGAGTTGACACCTCACCTATCTGGGATTCAGCTATCCAGCGCCCTCATCTATCCGGAACACAGCCGAGAGACAAGGAAGTAAGCAGAAGAGGCATCTGAGCAGCCAGGTTCGACGTTAACACAGTCCACGCACTGATAGCCCGAGCCCTGAACTGCCAGGAGAAACCTCAGGGCCCCACTCAGCCACTCTGCGTTCATCCACACGTGGCTGAGTCGGGCCAAATGAAAATGCTGACATGGGGTTCTCTACTCCTACTCAGGCAGGCTGGCCACAGCAAGCAGGGCAGAGGGCAGCTTAGCAGAGCAAGATAAAACAAACAAACAAACAAACAAACCAGTGAGCGGGTGCGGCTGGGGCCACTCGACACGGGAGCACATCAATCAGTCCTGAGAACACACTTGGGTCAAGGCATCAAAACCTAAAAGCTGAGTCATGCTGCTATGTAGCCCAGGTTGGTCTTAGGACTCATGATCCTCCTGCCTCAGCCTCCCAAATGCTGGGGATTATAGGTGCATGCCGTTACGAGTGTTTAAGAACTGCTCTCGATGAGGGACTATTTTATATGGCTGACATATGTGTTCATACTTTGTTTATTGCTTCTGTGACTGGAGGATGTGTGATTATGTTGTGAAAAAGTAGAAGAAAATGCAGGCATGGCCTGGTGCCCAACCAACCTGGCATATTGCACCTCTATGTAAGAAGCATGGCACACCATGCTCCTGAAGTCAAAAGACTGAATTCTGAAGTAGCGTGAGTAGCCGGTAGCTGGCCGGGGGATGAGTCTGAACAACTTTAATAAGCTTTTCCTGTGTAGAGACCCTGGTGGTGTGGGTGCTCACTGTCCGGTCCGCAGGTATGTGCTAAGCAATCACAGCAGTCTTCCACTGTATAAGTTGTACACACGCACACTAAAGCAGATGCTGGTCCCTGAAGCCGTCTCCAGGGCGATTTTATCTCTGTGCCCTTTACAGACCCACGGCACTGCTGTCTTGTCAGGGGACGCCCAGTAACGGCAGCAGAGGTCATGTTAGTGATCATTAGTAGCCTGGAGAATTTATATCAGCTAACTTAACCCAGGCTCATCCAGTCTTATCGGTCCCACTCAGTTTTCCTAGCCCACCACAATCCCCACACCTCCCTATCACCTGTGTGTGGCTGAATGCTAAGTGGTTCTAGCCATGGCTAAACACCATTTGAGCTTGGGTTCCCAGTGTGAGCCCTCAATTCCCTGGAAAGTACGGTGGGGCAGGATCGAGGTTATAGTGTTGGATTCGTTCATGTTAATTTTCTTTGTCGCCCCCCCCCTTCTGTTTGTAGGCTCAAGGCCTGGTGCTGCTGATTGGAGCGACACTTGATGTAAGTCGGGGTTTTCTTTCCAAGACCCTGTGACAGACCTGGGAACTGGCAAGGGGTTCTCAAGGCCAACTGAGGCGCCTCAGCCATCAGCTCCTCATTTGAAAGAAGAGCTTGAAAGCGATACAAACCAACAAAAAACAGGGCTAGAACTCACACCACAGCACACCTGTCCTGCACTGCGCTTCCTACACCTAGTAGCAGTCACTCCCTACTAGAGCAGCCAGCAGGGCATGGGGGAGGCGCGAGGGGGGAGGAGGAAGGGGTGGGGCTCCGTTACCTGGCATGGCGTCCATGGAAATATAGGGCTCGAATGGAATGGCCTTCTTCCTGTTTCGCGTGATTAAGAACACACCCAGGAAGGCGATGAGGCACCTGAAGACCGGAGAGGAAGAGGAGAAGTGAGACCAGGAGCAATCATGAGGAGGGGACTTGAGGGCAAGTGGCTAAGGGCCAGCTAAAGAGAGCGGAGACCACAGGGCCTGCAACCAGCAAGAAACACTGTGCAAGATAGCAGCTTGGGGGCAGGACAGGGAACAGAGGCCACACATCCAGAGTCCACAAACTGGATTCTATAGTGATATTTTATTTATGCTTTAATAAATAAAGTTTGCCTAAAGATCAGAAGGGTAAAGCTAAGCCACTAGATAGAGATCAGGTAGACCTTTATTCCCAGGATTAATAGGAGGCAGAGGGATCTCTGTGAGTTCAAGGCCACCCTGGGCTACAATGCAGAAACAAATCCAGGAGGTGGTGCCTCACACCTTGAATCCCAGCACTAGAGGGAATATAAAATGGGAGGAGACAGAGGCTTAGTCCGCTTAGTCTGCGGTCGTCCAGCCTTGGTAGAGGTAAGACTTCTCTAGTGGCTTGGCTATTTTGCTTTTCTGGTTTTCGGTTGAGCCCTAATATCTGTCTCTGGGATTTTATTATTTGTGCTACAGGATTCAGAATTGTCTTCCAGGGAAATTTGTAGCATGTGGCTCATCTACTTTCCTACAGTCAGTGTTCTCAAAAGTATGCCTTTTAAAAAGCTGTATTTTTTTTAACTAAAAAAACTTGCTTTTATTTTATTTATTTTCTTGGCTTTTCAAGACAGCCTTGGCTGTCCTGGAACTCACTCTGTAGATGAGGTTGGCCTCAAACTTGCCTGTCTCCCTAGGGCTGGGGTGCTGGGATTAAAGGCATGTGTCACTACCACCCAGCTCTAAAAGATTTCTTTATGATTTGAATACAGTTGGTATAAAAGTCTAGAAAAATGACAACAAATGTACTAGAAAGTCCCCGTGTCTCCTCTCTCTCTTTCTCATGCACGTGTACACACACAGACACTCACAGACACACACAGACACACACACACACACAGACACATACAGACACACACATATACACAGACACACACACACATAGACACAGAAACACACACAGACATACACACAGATACACACACAGTGCATTGCTCTGGCTGGCCTTGAACTTGCTATGTAGAACAGGGTGACCTGAACTCACTGATTTACCTGTTTCTGCTCCACCTGCCACCCAGAGCTGGGACTAAGGGTATGCGCCATCCCACTCTGTTTTTCTTTTCTCTCAGTGTGTGGAAAGAAGCAGTTCCTCAAAATCAAGGTGCAGTTTACAGGCAGTGATGCAGAGATCCCAAGAAGAAAGATGGACAGTCTCTATTCACGTGTGTGTTTGTTCACCTACCAGGTCAAGATTGAAAGACTTCTATCCCCCTAGAGCACTGGTTCTCAACCTTTGTGGTGACCTCCAACCATAAAGTTATTTTCATTGCTACTTCATACTGTAATGCTGCTAGTATTATGACTAATAATGTAACTACACGGTATGCTGGAGATCTGATATGTGACCCCTGTGAAAGGGTCATTCAACCCCCATAGGGGTTGTGACCCACAGGTTGAGAACCACTGCTCTAGACGATTCTAAGCAGCTGTGGGTAACCCTGAACTGATCCTCCAGCCTCTATCTTCTGAGCGCTGGGAGACGTCAGTGCCACACTGTCTGGTTTCATTCATTACTGGGGATGGAACCTAGGGTTTTAGCATGCTAGGCAGAAACTGAACCAAATAAGCCCCAGCCCAGCTTCCCGGAAGGACCTCGGTGCCTTTTCTCTTCATGCCCCACCATGCCCAGAGTCTCTACCACCTGACTTCTCTCCCCACGAGTTACATTTATCAGAAATGACAAAAGGAGAGAAGGCTGCAGGCCTTTGGGGGAGCCAGCTGCTCACTTTTGGAGCCAGCACCCTCCGGCTAGCAACTCTCTCCACTCCAGGACCATGGCTGAAGCAATTGGTCAGGGGCAAGTCCTGGCTAGACAGAGTGGGACTCACCCCAGGGCAAACATGCAGACGTGCAGCGCTTCCTCCCCGAGGAAGTCCAGGTAGAAGATTGCACCTGTAGCAGCAAGGGAGAGAAGAGATCGCGATCATTTCCAGACCTGCTTGGAGGTGACTGTCTTAGGAGGCTCTTTATATCTCCATATTCAAACAAACTTTTGAGATAATCTTCAGCTGCTCCAAATAGCAAAGCTCCATATACACTTTCTCTAATCTCATCCCTATCATTAGCCACAGGTCACGATAATTGATAATTTCCTGCCTCAGCTTTCCAAGTGCTAGAATTACAGGCTCTAGCCACCATGCCCGGTTTGTTTGTTTGTTCCTTCATCTCCTCCTGCCCTCACCTCTTTTTTTTGACAGACTCTCATGTAGCTCAGGCTGGCCTCAAGCTCCTTAGGTAGTCAAGGATGACTTTGAACTTCTCATTCTCCTTCTTCTACCTCCCAAGTGCTGGGATGACAGGTAAGGTGTGCATAGCCAGACCTGGTTATTGCGGCATGAAGGATGGAACCAGGGTTCCGTTCACACTAGGTCAACACTCTACCAATGGAACCACATCCTAGCCCCGTCGACCTACACTGTTGGAGAAGCCCTGCCCAGGACCCACAGCAGGAGGAACGGGGGATGTTTGGATCATACATATTGCAGTTCTAGAGAGGAAGTGTTATTAGACCTGTAAAACCAAGGCTTGGAAGGTAGGTGGTTATTCCCTGAGCCACATGGTTGGCATAACGACTGTCGGAATGCAAGCCTTCATCTCCAAATCTCACGCCCTCCACAAAGACCACAGGCAGAGCCAGAAAGCACAATCAGCTGAGAGGTAGGCCCCCACCCCCACCCAGGAACAATGTCCCTCTGCTCAGGCAGGACACAGAAACCCAGTAACGGGCAACTCTCACCTGCTGTGATGGCTGCCGTGGTGGACAGGATGTAGCCTATGCTGGCGATCAAGGAGGAGTCATAGATCTGAGAGGCTTGACTCAAAAACCTGCAACACACAGTTACTTGGATCAGTGGGCTAAGGGGGTAAGAGAGGAACTTGGGGTACAAGGCAAGGCATGGGGAGGGTTTCTAGGTCTATAAGAATGGACTCTCTCCGTTACAGTGCTGGGGACCTAAAGATTTGAGGTCTGAGCTTGGCCCACAGACTGAAGCCCTTCTGCGGCATACCTCTGACTGTGTGACTGTGGCCATGGCCACACCCTTTTCCTCACCCCTGGTCCCCACCTCACTGAACGGAGCTTCTCCTGGGTCCACACATATCCGAGGACAATCTCATGGGACTTGTCACAGCCAGCCCAATGTTGTAATTTTTTAACATACTAGAAACATGTTAGTGGTTACTGCGATGAACGGGAGAAAGGAAAAGCCAGCTCCTATTTTGTCTGTGGCAGACACCACCTTCATGTGGGAACTGAGCCTCTGTCCAATTCCCTGTTGACATCCCAGCCAGCCCTGCACAGCTGCCCGCAGGAACACTAGCCGCTAAGCTAACTGTCTGTGCACAGGCTGTATCCCTGAGACCTATGAGGGGGACTGTGGCTCTGCGTGCTGGGGGACTGTCCGACTGGGAGACCATACGTTCCTAAGAGGTGGCAGGAGTCCTTGGTTGCCTGTGTGACCCCGATCTCTCAGCACTGAATCTGTGTACCCGGCAAAGGTTCTCCTTAGGAGGGCTATAATAGTGTTGAGGGGCTAAAAAGTCCTGATAGTCAAACGGTAGCAGTGACAAAACTCATGACGTGTGTGGACGCCAAGCTGGGGTGCTTCGGGCAGACCTGTGGGTCTCAGCTGCAGAGGGTGAAGCTGAACCCCAGGGCAGCCTCGTGGGACTTGGAGGAGCGGATGCAGAGGGGCTCAGACTGGGAACCTGATGCTTAAATTCAGCCCTCAATCTATCACATCCTAGCTTTAATCTCCCTCTGCCTCCCAACACGGGACAGACAATACCATCTCCAGCCCGCCCCGCAGGGTGCTGTGAGCATAGGTAATCTGAAAATGGAGCCCCCACCAGCAGCAGCTGCTGCCTTGGCCCTCAAAGTCAGGAGGCCGGTGGGTGCTGTGCTCAGGCTAGACCTAGGAACCTGACCTTCAGGCTGGCTCAGCCTAGCCACCACTGAGTGCCACTCCCTTCCAGTCCTCTGGCGGGAAGGGCTCTAGGACTCAGAGGGGGCAGGACCGAAGCCTGCTCTCAGGATTGCAAAGCTTCTCAGCTTCACGTCACCCATACTCAGAGGTAGAAACGAGCGTGCACTCTTTTCTCTGTGAGGACCCGGGGTCGAGTTCTCGGGGACAGGAAATGACAACTCTGTTTCCCCAAGGAGACAAGCAAGCGCCTCTTTGGTGACGGCAAGGCTTCTCAAGTTCCCATAGGGCAGATGACAGGCTGCTTCTTAAACTTTGAGCACTCGGGACAGGGAGGGATGTGTGTGTGTGTGTGTGTGTGTGTGTGTGTGTGTGTGTGTGTGTGTGTTTGGATTCCACTCCCTGCCCCATGAGTTTCTCTCTACCCTGATGCTAAGCTGGCTCTCTGTATGTTCTGGCTGCCCTACAACTTCAGAGCCAAACGGAACCAGGCCCCAGAGTGGAGGAAGTGTAACACACGTGGCCTGATAGACGGCCGTGGCCACCATGCACACGAACATCACGTAGAAGATCGGGTAGTCCAGCTGCAGGTTGCCTTGGATGGAGAGCACCAGCATCCCCGACACAGCCTTGACCGTCACCACCGTCATGGAACCTGCGGAGAACAAGCAAGGTCCTGAAAGGACTTGGGGGCAGAGGCGGGAGGTTCGCGGAGCCCTCCCGTGGTAAGAAGACACCATTGGCTAGGTCTACTTTGCCCAGGACTCCCTTAGCTGGGCTGACAAGTCAAACAGAGGGATGTGAGGTGCCCACAGCTCTTTTCAAATATCACTTCACTGTACCCTAATGGGCAGCAAGATCAGATCTCTGCCCCAGACGACATGACAGTGGGCGGGAAATGGCTCTCTGAACAGACACGCAAACTTCCCCCGAGCACCGACTTCATGGTAATCCAGGATAACAGGTGAGGAAAGAACTCAGGAATCGGAGCTTCATAATGCTCAGTCACGTGCATTTGCGAAACTGGAGGTAGGAAAAACGACTGGGGGAAGGGACAAAGGAAGCCACAGCCCCCGCTGAACTGCACTGCTTCCCCTCTGTCAACTGCCTCAGTAGCGTTCTCCCGCCAGCAATCCAGCACACCGTGCCTTCTGGGCCCCTCGGCCACTGCGCTGGTCTGCACGCATGGGAAGCCCCTGAAGTCACGCTTGTGGCACCATACTATCCACGCTACCAAACAGCAGATGGGCCATGAACGACGGGATGTTGACGACTTCGGTACTAACCACCACAACGTCACAAAGGGACAGGAGACTGCTTATGCTGCAACTTGGGTACGCCTAAGAATGTTATGTTCAAACGAGCCAGTTACAGAAAGGCCTCATAGGGCCAGGTGTGTAGTGTGCACCTGGAATCCTAGCACTCAGGAGGCTGAGGCAGGAGGATCAAGAGCTCAAGGCTAGCTGTCTACAAAAGAAGATTTTTTTTCCCCCTAAGCTGAAGATGTTGCTCAGTCGAGAGAGGGTTTGTCTAGCACACACAAAGCCCTGGGCTCTGTCCCCAGCATGGCCTAAACAGGGCTGAATGCAATCCCAGCACTCAGGAGGTACCAGCAGGAGGATGAGATGCTCAAGGTGGCAACCCAGGGATTTCAAGGTCAGCCTGGGCTACCGGGGACCCAGTCTCAATACAAACAAACGAAGAGCCACTTTAGGATATAATTCCAGTTATGTAAGATGTTCACAATGATGCATTTATACACAAAAGGGAGGTTAGTGGTCGCCTGGAGCTGGGGAGATGGGGGTGGGAGTCACCAGTACGGAGTACAGGGTTTATTTTTGGGGTGTTCTATAATTAGATTGTGGTTGTGTGAGTCTATGACTATAGGAAACCCCACTCAAGGCTTCCCTTGAGGAGAAGAACCACGTGGCATATGAATTCTACCTCAATAAAACTGTTTTAAAAAGTAGATCAGAATAATGCCAGCCTGTGTTCAGTGACAGACATCTGCATGGTTTGGGGGGGGGCTGTCACTGAGGTGGGATGGGGGGAATCACATGTGGGTACCTCTGCCCATATCAGTTCACTGTCCTCCCAACACTGGGGTATTTTCCTTGTCTGTTTTGGAGTACTGTGTAGAGGAGACACCAGACGGCCAGCCCTTTCTCCTGCTCTGTTGGACACTGAGTGACTAGTAGCATCTTTGCCTCAGCCTGAAGGCCATCTTCGGCCTGAGCACCAATCCCTTGAAAGGAGGTAAACCTTTCTGTTCTGACTCCATACCTGCCCTCTCTCCATACAGCCCTTTGAGGATACTGCTGGACAGCTCTGAGGTTACCTCTGACCTCACCTAGCTTACCCTCCTTCCATTCCTTCTCCTGACGGGTCACTGCCCACACTCAGGTGGCTGTGGTCCATGCATTTGCTCACTTTTCTCTTGTTGAAGACGGTCCTCTCTGAATCTCCACTGGGACTTTAGTTCTGGGCACTTGGAAGACTCGAGACTTGAGCCAGAGTGCGAGAAATGTTAGAAGCCACCTCGGTCAGCCGGGCCCAGCTCCCTGTGGCCACCTGTAGAGTGACCGCCTTGAACTAGCCTCAGGTAGCTTCTGTATGCAGAGCCGATAGCCTTGAGCAGGGTTACCGGGGGTGACAAAGCCCCATCACCCAGAAACCGCTTACCAAGCAAGGCCACCAGGAGGAGAATCACGATGATGCTGTTGGCGTTCTTCTCCTTGTAGAAGTACAACAGCAGGCATAACAGGACGATCGCCACCAGCTGCGGAGGACATCAGTGGTCACCAGGCATGTAGTCAGGAATCCAATGTGTGTCCCTGTCCTGACCAAGCCCAAGTATGTGTGTAGCGGATCAGAGAAAGAGGAAGGCAACTGTTGGGCCCAGCAGCACACTTGGGAGGTGGCTTAGGAGGAGCAGAGAGGTCAGGGCCTGCTCAGACTGCACAGTGAGTTCAAGGCCGGCCTGGGGAACTCAGGTGCTATCTCAAAATATGAAAAGACAAAAGTGGTTGGCGCAGACAAATTTCAGAGCACTTTCCAGGGACATCCAGGCCCAGGGTTCAAAATCCAGTAATAAAAACCCAACCCAAAAGAAAACAACAACAAAAAAAGCAAAATGCTACTCCCAAGTGAGACACATACTTGGGGAACCATTTGGTCAAGTAACAGGAGCACGCTCTGTGTCACTAGGCCTCAGCCGGGTGCAACTTCCAGAGAAAGAGGAAGGCAGCTGCTGCTGAGTGTGGTGGCCCAGGCCTGAAATCCTGGCACTTGGGAGGCAGAGGTGGGAGGGTTTTGAGTTATTGGTTAACTTGGGCTATGCGGTGAGACTATGTCTCAAAATATAAAAGAGGAAGCTGAGTTGAATTTGGGAGTCGTAGGTTGTAGTTGTGTCTGTCTCTAAATTGCTTGCGTGACTATAGTCAAGTCTAAACATCTCCAAATCCCTGCTGCCCCCCGCCCCCAGCAAAGTAGGGATGCCACCACTCACAGGGCAATAGTTAGCACTATGCTGACTGAACGCTGCCCATGAGCCAGACGCCACTCCCAGCATGGCCGTCACGTTCAGCTCCTTACACCAACACCGTATTGTGAAGTGGGTGGGACCATTACAACCCTTGTAGCCGATGGCAGAGGCAGGATTTGAACCTGGGCAACCTAAGGATCCACATCTTTTCCCAATAGACCACACTGTCTGGGGCTGGAGGCCTAGAGTCCTGCATGGAAAAGCGACTTCAGCAACAGAAATTCCCTAGTAGCTAATTCTTTTTTTTTTAAATATTTATTTATTATGTATACAATATTCTGTCTGTGTATATGCCTGTAGGCCAGAAGAGGGCACCAGACCCCATTACAGATGGTTGTGAGCCACCATGTGGTTGCTGGGAATTGAACTCAGGACCTTTGGAAGAGCAGGCAATGCTCTTAACCTCTGAGCCATCTCTCCAGCCCTCTAGTAGCTAATTCTAAGCTTGCATTGTAAGATTGTTTCCTGGCCACCATCAGCCACCAGTCCTTTCTACTCCTTAAAGGCCTCGATGATTGACGGACGGTATGTCCCGTAAAAGGAAGCCAGCCCCAGCACCTGGCATTGCTAAGAAAACTGTGATAATGGCTTAGCTCCCCTTGCCAACCCCAAACCCATACTAAAGTCTGTTCATACCCAGAACTAATGTGGGAACATCAACAGACATTTTAAAGTGAGACTTCAAGACGTCCTTGTAATTGGAGGCCATTAACTCAAGCTCTCCCATGCCCGCTGTGACCCGCGTTCCATCTGGTGAGTGTCTTACCTAGCTGTTGCCAGTCTGGAAGAGAGTCTTGTGTTTTAGGAAGAAATCATGCTCCCTCCATGAGGCTACTGGCGGGTACCCCATCACATATATGTGCAGACTGACTCAGTAATACTCCTGAGGCTATGGGGAGGGCACCCCAGTTTTCAGCTATTGCCTGACTCTTTGTGACTCTTTGTGTTCCACCTGTCTTCATAGACACAGGCTGTGTGTACGCCTTCACAGCCCTCTGAAGACCCAAGATTGGTGGTGACCACAGATGGATTTGGATGGTGCCCAGGATAGACATGGCCCCAGCAAGTCATGTGCATTCGGCATGTTCAACTGTGCCTCAGTGATCCCAACTGCTGGCCTTGGGGCCAGGCGACTGGGATGTGATCCCCTTTCAGTCTATTCAAGCAGAATGATGGGACCTTCACTTACCATGTACAGGAGAAAAGGCCAGCTCACCAGGTGCCTGGCAATGTTCTCGCCTGTCATTTTCTCGTGACTATTGGGTGCAAATGTCACTAGCAGGTAGGTGCCCACGATCGCCAAACCACAGCCAACAAAGGACAAGACATAGCGCCCTGTGGGGAAAAAGGGAGGATGGTCAGGGCTTCAGGGCATGAGCCAGGTACATGGGGGGGGGGAGGTCTTTGGCAAGTCAGGGCAGCCTTTGCCTTTGTCCTGGCTAGTTTATCTCAACCTGACACAAGCCAGAGTCATCTGAAAATGGGGGAACCTCAACTGAGAAAATGCCTCCATAAGATCAGGCTGCAGGAAAACCTGTAGCGTGTTTTCTTAATTAGTGACTGATGGGGGAGGGTCCAGTCCATTGTGGGAGGGGCCAGCCTTGGCTGGTAGTGGTCCTGGGTTCTATAACAAAGCAGACTGAGCAAGCCATGGGGAGTTAGTCAGTAAGCAGCACTCCTCCATGGTCTCTGCCATCAGCTCCTGCCTCCAGGTTCGTGTCCTGCCTGAATTTCTGTCCCGATTGCCTTCAGTGAAAGACTGTGGGTGTGGAAGCATAAGACAAACCCTTTGCTCCCCAACTTGCTTTCAGTTGTGGCGTTTCACCATAGCAACAGAAACCCTAACTCAGACAGCCTGTGACAGGCATCTGGCACTGCTTGTATTTTTGGTTGTTCTTTACTTCAAAAGAGCAACCTTCCTTAATGTCTTCTCGTAAGGTTTATTTGTATATTTTTATGTGTATGAGTGATTTGCCTTCATGTATGTGCACTAATGAGTACCTGGTGCTTTTGGGGTGTCAGAAGGCATCAGATCTCCTGGAACTGGAGTTACAGACAGTTGTGATTCACCACGTGGGTCTTGGGAATTGAACCCAGGTCCTCCGCAAGACCACCTAGTACTCTTAACCACTGAGCCATCTCTCCAGGTCCCCTTAATATGTGTGTGTGTGTGTGTGTGTGTGTTTTAATTTATTGTTTACTTACTTGATTTGATTAATGCTCCACAAAACTTTAAATTTTTTATTTGATTTGTACTGACTTTGAGCACCACTGAGGGCATTGACTGCTTTGGTTCTTACAGACATGGACTTATGTAGTTCATTTGGTCACTCAGCATGGTGTTCGTGAGGTCTGTCTGTACCAACTGGGTTCATTCATTCTTACAGTCGAGCAGTAACTTGTGTGACAGCGACCCAAGCATCAATTGTCTGCTGCTGGGCACATGTGTTTGCTGCCTGGGATTGTAGAGTATATGTTGCTGTGGACACTCCTGCCTGTGTGAATCTCTACTGGGTATAAAGTATGCAGTGGAACCCTGGACCACTGGGTAGGTGATGTTTGGTTTGATGGTTACCATGACATGACTCTCCAAAAATGCCTGTAACAATTTACACTCCCATCAGTAGTGTGGAAGGGCTGCTTGTATGCTTGCTAACACGTAATGTTTTGTAGTTATTCTGGGAGTGGGCTATGTTTCACTTTTTGTTTTTTTCAGTACCAGGAGTGGAACCCAGAACCTTGTTCACTGGGTGGGCTTTCCCAACGAACCACACCCCAGCCCCTGCACTGTGGTTCTAACGTGCGCTTACAGGGAAGTCCCAAGCCTAGAATCCCTTTATGGGCAGGCTGAAGAGGAACTGAAACTCACTGTGGAATATTTGTTTAAATATTTTGAATACAGTGTAAGGATGTTACTCTGCCTTAGGTGCCTTCTGATTGGTTTAATAAAGAGTTAATTGGCCAATAGCTAGGCAGGAGGGATAGGTAGGATTTCCTGGAAGAGAGAGGAAGAGGAGAAGAAATCTAGGTGTGAAAGACACCATGGAGAGGTGAATGAGTTGAACACACAGAAAAGGAGAGAGGTAAAAACCAAGTGGTTGAATGCAGATAAATAAAAATATGGGTTCATTTAAGTTATAAGAGCTAGTTGGTCAAGCCTACGCTAAGGCTGAGCTTTTCTAATTAATAGTAAGTCTCTGTGTCTTTATTTGGGAGCTGGTAGCCCAAAGAAAAATCCAACTACAAAAACTCCCCAAGAAGACTCCACAGTCCAAAGGGTAACTTTTAAGAATGACTGTCTTTTTCCAGGCAGCTACTTAGCCTACTTGCAAGGAACAGACTTGGTGCTGTTGTTGCTCTGCCCGGAGGCCTGCCAGGGACCAGCATCGGGACCCAGGACAGAGTAGAGGTCAAGAGCTCTGTGCCTCTTCCCTGGCATCCTGTCATACTCCAGAGGGAAGGGTCCAGCCTAGGCACGGCCAGCTGTGTGCTAAGAGCTCTGATCTACGCAGCTGCTGAGAGAGGGCTCACTCTGTTTACTCCAGCAACCCTAAGCCCGGCTGTGTATCCCCAACACTTTGGCCGTTTCCTCCCTGTAAAGTTCTATGTAAAAGATTTTAGACACAAAGAAAAGCTGCAAGACTTGTGTAGTGAGCTCCTCAGTCCCACCACTTAGACAGGTGGTTCTCAACCCGTGGGTCATGACCCCGGGGTCATAGGGGTTGCATATCAGATATCCTGCATATCAGACATTTGCATTATGATTCATAGCGGCAGCAAAGTTACGGTTACAAAGTAGCAAGGAAATAATTTTATGGTTGGAGGGGGGTCACAGCAGCATGAGAACTGTATTAAAGGGTTGCAGCATTAGTAGGAAGGCTTGGGGCACTTGACACTCACTCCCAGGAACATGGACCCCGAGGGGGAGTGGGATGTGGAGGGGCTGTCCATGGGGGGGGATGCTCCATCAGAGACTTACTCACGAAGTCCTTAGGTTTCCATTTTTCTTTGATGAATATGATTCCAATGATGGCGCTCGCTGGAAAAAAAGCCAAGGAGAGAGAAGAGGAATAAGGTTGCTGCCAGGTGGAGGGGTGCCCCCCACTCGTGCCCTCTGGGTGGCTCATGTCCCCCAGAGATCTTTAGGGTTTGGTCTGTTTCAGCCTCAGTCACTTCATCTGGAAGAGGGGATCTCCCAGAGCCTTCTGTGGGATTTCTCCTAGGCCAGGGCTCTAGGCCCTGCAGTCCACCGTGCATGAGGCAATTTACATGGGTGACTTTTGGATGCTCAACCTTAGGAGGTGGGTGCTACAGTTGGTCTTATTTGATAAATGGGGATCCTGGGGTTAAAAGAGGTGAAGTTGATAGGAAAAGGCAAGATTTGAACTCAGGACGGTGCGGGCCAGAGCTTTTCTCCTCCTGCACCCTACCTCCCTCATGGTACCTCCCTGACCATTGCAGGGTCACAGCTTTACTTAAACTCCTGTGGCCGACCTATTGGACAAGGCTGGCAGCCACCATGACTGACTCCATTACTAGCCCAGCTCCGCCTCAGCGGGCTGTGTGGCCCCAGGTATAGGTCACTCCCTGAGTAACAGTCTTCTACTCCGTGAGACGGTGTACTGGGTCTGGCTGTACCAACTTGCTGTCATATATTTGGGCGGCCACAGGTTGCTTGAATTTCACCACGGCAGAGCAGATACACTGACACCGACTCCGTACAGCTCCGCTCTGGGTGAGGGGCCTCAGCGACCACGTCCATCTCCGTCTCCTCTCCTCGCCTCCCCACCCCAAAACCCCACTGAAAACTATTACTTCTTTGAGTTGTAGGTCAATTAAATAAGATTCTATATGCAAAACATTCCGCATACAGTAAATGCTCATAATAAAACGATTCTTGTTGAGGTACTTGGAACAGCAATGGATGGAAAAGTCTTAAGTAGACAAGGAATGAGCCGTTAGTATGTTAAGTAGATTTCTCATAGGGTGACCCTGGCGGTTCTAAGAGCTTCTTAACCTCCAGTGGCTGACTCCCAAATCTTTTGTTTACAATTTATTTATTGCAACAGTGTCCTGCTTGCATGTATGTCTGCACACCAGAAGAGGGCACCAGATCTCATTACAGATGGTTGTGAGCCACCATGTGGGTGCTGGGAACCGAACTCGGGACCTCTGGACAAGCAGCCAGTGCTCTTAACCTCTGAGCCATCTCTTTGGCTTGACCCCCAAACCTTGTCACAGTTTTCCATTTTGTTAGTTTCTTATAATTGATAGCAGCTGAGAATTCTGAGGTCCAACCTAGGCAGTTGTGATTGATTAATGATGTCTTTCCTGAGCCCAGGAGGGGTACAGTGACCACACATGTGTCACGCACAGGCCCTTCCTGCGGTGAAGAGGACTTCTGAATTCAAGCAGAGGTAAGAGGCCAAGATTTGCTGCTTTCCTGAGAGCAGGAGAGAGTGGAGCTAGCAAAATGGAAGGAGACATTCAAGACGAGCCCATTGTTCCAGCTCCCTTTTTGGGCTGTCTCTATTAGAATTGGATTTTATCTGTCACCTTGGGGCACTAAAGTTCTTTCATCTTTGGCTGGTTCAGGTGCTCTGATATGGAAATCACGGGAAAATGACACGCGGGAAAGGCAATGATGACTGGCCGGGATGACAGGGAAAGACCTGAGCACCAACAGCGTTTCTCAGAGGTGCAAGACAGTGAAGAGATGAAAGTCGTAGGCCTTGCCAGTGTGAAGACACTTCGATGAAGGCTGAACTCCCTTCTGCAGTGGCCATCAAAGCCATTCTAAAGAAAATGTTCTGAATCTTAAACACGGTCTGGAGGCGGAGACCCTGGCTCGCATCCCTGCCTGCCACCGGTGACATGCACCTCACTTCCTCTATCTGTAAAATGGGTGCTACATTCCCCCCCCCCCCGAGTGCTCAGAGCTGGGCCTGTGGGTTGACATAGATGGTAGATGTTCTTACCAAAGCAAAGGCGCCTCTTTTTAAACCAGTATTTATTTTTTAAAATATATTTTAAATTAAAATACAATCCCATCACATCCCCTCTTCCGTTTCCTCCCCCAAAGCCTTTCCGTGTCTCTTGCTTCACTCCCTCTCAGAGTGTTCCTGTTTTTGTTTTTAATCTTTATTTGTGTGTGTGTGTGTATGGGTGTTTCACCAGCACATAAATCAGTGTTTCACATATATGTTGTGTCTGAAGAGGACAGCAGAGGGCATTGGATCTCCTGAGACTGGAGTTACAGTCCCATGTGGATGCTAGGAATCGAACCCGAGCATTTCTTCTGCAGGAACAGTCAATGCTCTTAACTACTGAGCCACGTCTCCAGCTGCCAAGAGTAGTGTGTTTATTTTTTGTTTTTGTTTTTTTGAGGCAAGGTCTCCTTACATAGCCCTGGCTGTCCAATAAGTCACTATGCAGACCAGCCTGCCTCTACCTCCCAAGTTCTGGGATTAAAGGTGTGCACCAGCATGCCTGGCCCCAGCTGTGTGTGTGTGTGTGTTTAATATGAGTGCTCCGAGCCTCGTGATGGCGCTCGGGTCACACAGACCGTAGGTCCTGGGTGGAGAGGAGGCTGGGGCTTACCTATCACGGAGACGGCACTGAGGGGCACGATGAGCGAGAGGGGGGCGAAGGCATAGGAGGCGAACACGCCCAGTTCTCCCAGCAGCAGCAAGAGCAGTCCTAGCCACCATGTCTTGGTCTTGAAGTAGGCCCGGGGGTCCTTGGAGCCTGCCAGGCGGATGTGGCAGTATTTCTAGAAGTCCAAGAAGGAATGCGATTTGACCAGATGTTGAACCAGGTGTTTAGAGCACATGAAAGACTCTGATGAAGGAATCCCAGCTAACACTGCATTTTTAAAACCACACATGGAGGCCTGAGTTGGGTTTGGGGGTGACATGGGTGGGACCTGGAAATGGGCATTTCTTTGTGATTATGTGTACATAGTCACATGTATGTAGATAACATGCACGTTACGTAGGAAGTGCATGTTTACATGTATGTGGATCTGCACTCGTGTGGGTGCATGTGTGTGTGTGTGTGTGTGTGTGTGTGCATGCAGGTCAGAGGAAACAGTCTTTTGCTATGGTTTTTGAGGCAGAGTGACTCAGTAACCCAAGCTTGACACGTAGGCTAGGCTGGCTTGCCAGTAAGCCCCAGTCTCACCTCCTGCCACCCTGGCACTGGTTTATACACGCACACCGCCACAACTGGCTGTTTTGACACAGGTTCTAGGAATGGAACTCAGTCCTTCAAGCCTGCAGGACAAGGACTTCACCCATTAAGCTATTGCTCTAGCCCCTCTCTTCCTCTTGAGACACTGGCTCATGCCACCCAGGCTGGTCTTGAAATTTCAATCCTCAGGGCTGGAGAGATGGCTCAGGGGTTAAGAAGCACATATGCTCTTACAGAGAACCCGGGTTTAGTTTCCAGTGCCCTTTGTGTGGCTCACAACCGTGCATAACTCCAGTTCCAGGGGATCTAATCTGATCCCCTCTTCTGACATCCACAGAGAGACACCAGACACACGGCACACAGACATACAGACAGTCAAACACTCACATGCATAAAAAAAAAAAAGTAAAATCCACCCCACCCCCCCTTAAGTGCATGGGTAACAGGCATGTGCACTGTGCCTGGGGCTCAGGGCGGGCCTCGGAGAATCTCCGAGAAATCTAAGAGAGGACATTTACCCACTGACTCCTGTAGTGGCCACCCGGCATGGGAACATCCTTGTCTCCTGGAACACAAGTGTGCCAGTGCCCTGGGACCCCAGGGGAAGCTCCTCTAGATGTCAGCTGCTGCACAGCAGAACTGTGACCACCACCCGGCCAGGCGCTGTGGGGGTTCTATGGTAACTGCTGCTGTCCCTGTCCCCGAGACTTGAGGCATTGACAGTACTGGAATCAGAGCTGAGGGTAATGGCCCATGATGGTCCCAGCAGCTGGAGGCATAGGGCAGCGTGCGACAAGACCTGGGCCTGTGGTTAAGATGTCACTGGTAGAGAGAAGGCTGGGGCTCGGCTGGGGAGACAGCACTATCAGAGAAACGTCTGCTGTACAAGCATGAGTTTAGATCCTCGCCACCTGCGTGAAAAGCCAGGTGTGGCAGTGGCTGCCTGTAACCCCAGCACTGGGGAGAAGGAAACAGGAAGTGATTTGCTATCACTGAGCTCCAGGTTCAGTAAAAGAGCTTGACACAAACAAACAAACAAACAAACAAACAAAAAACGGTGGGGCTGGAGATGGAGAGCCCACTCAGTGGTTGAGGGCAGTGTTGCTCTGCCAGAGGACCCACTTCGGGTACTGCCCATAACTCCAGCTCCAGGGGATCTGATGCCTCTGGACTCTGTGAGCACCCACACTCGCGTGCACACATCCCCTGTTGCACATAATTCAAAGTGAAAGAAATCTTAACAAATAAACAGGGTGGAGAGCAATCGAGGAAGAGACTCACCATTGCTCTCTGGCTTCTATAGCAGGCAGGCGTGCCCACCTGCAAACACATGAGCACACACACATACACCACACACGCACACACATGGAGAAACTGGAGGATGTGACCCATGAGAGGGGAGAGGAAGGAGGACAAAGACTGTAGAGAGATTCAGGCAGCAGACAGGGTCCCCCCAGAGAGCAGACAGCAGACCTGGCTCACCCGCATTGCTCCTCTGCCTGGGACAGCGCTGGCACCTGAGACTCACCTGCAGGTTAAGGGCGATGCTGACCACGAGATGCCCGAAAATTGCCAAGAGAGCGCCAATCAAGTTTTCCTGAAGGGTCACAGAACAGAAGGGAGTGGCAATTAAGTCAACAGGTACCAGGGCATATGTGATATTCAGCCGTCTGTCCCCCAAACAAAACCGGAACAAGGCCCACACTCCCCTCCCTCCAGACTGCCCAGGTGTCAGTCACCCAGCTCTTTAGAGATCCATGGGGCACTGTCCTGAGCTGGAAACGTCCAGAAAACACTATACTTGGTTGTCCTCATCTCGGTAACCTGAACAGGCCCAAACCTGCCCCACTGACCTCTGAGATACACTGACCTGCCACCATCTTGAACAGAAAGGTAATGTGTAGAAACCAGTGTGGAGGAAGAGAAACACAGGCTGGGGCTTCTACCACCACCATCTGGCCAGGGAAGTCTTACAGCTTAGCAAGAACCTCCCATGTAGCCGGCTTCAGTGTGGACTTTTCAGTTATTAATCAATGCAAACCTCATTTATAATCACCCTACTGATGAGAATCAGGCTCCTGGGCATGATACTTTTTTTTTAAATAAAAAAAAATTACTCAACATACATTTAGAATAGAATAATTATGAAGCACAGGTGACAAAAATGACAGTAGGGGCAGGGTGTGGTGGCCACACCTGTCATCCCATCACAGGTCAAGGCAGGAGATCAAGAGTTCAAGGCCATCCTTGAGATGTTATCTCAAAAACCATAAAACCTTGGGGCTGGAGAGGTGGGTCCAGGTTTAAAGACTGCATATTGTTCTCAGAGTTCCCTTTCCAGCATCTATATGAGGCAGCTCACAATTGTCTGTAGTTCTAGCTCCAGGGGATCTGAACCATCCCACCCCCATCCCACTGCCATCCCAATCCCCCCCAACTCCTGGCACAGCACTGATCTACACAACATACCTCTGTGTCAGGCACACTGTATTCATCATTTTTAAAAGGTCAGCAGGTACCCTATCACCTAAGCTCCAGCTCCTGCTCTAGATGACCATTTTAAATGTTTGTTCATGTTTATGTACTTGAATGTTTTGCCTGAATGCAAGTATGTGCACTGCCTGCATGCCTAGTGTCTGCACAGGCTGGGGGTGGGGTGTCATCAGTTCTCCCAGAACTAGAGTTAGACACAGTTGTAAGTTGTCTTCTGGGTGCTGGGATCCGAACCCAGGTCCTCTGCAAGAATCGCGCATGTTCTTAACTGCTGAGCCTTCTCTGCCGTCCCCTTATCTGACTATTTTTGACAGAGGAAACAGTGGTTTCATATGGTTCAACTTGTAACTGAGCCACTATGACTTTCACATAGAGACTATGCCGTCCTTTGATAGCACGTCGATTAAAAGAACAATGCTGATGAGAAGGCTGAAGTTAAGAGCTAAATAAGGGGAAAGTGTCCTGCCACCCACAGAAGCCAAACCGCATCAGGGAGAGCTGGTGAGAAGGAATGGGGAAGTGAAAACTAGGAAACCCACAAAGACAAACTAATCTAAGTACCAGGGCGTCTCACAGTGAAGGGTTTCGTGGTCAAGGCTGGCATTAACACAGTGCTCACACGTGATGGGGAGGCCCCGTCAAGGCTGGCGTTCACACAAGGCTCACTCGTGATGGGGGAGGCCATCTCTATACTTTCCCTTTGGGATACATACAAGCCTAAGAGAACTGGCTTTGAAATAGATCCAACTCTGCCTGAGAGCTACTGAGGTGGGGTGGAATCATCGAGAAATGTCAGGGCCCTTGCTCTCTCTACAGCGAGCCCAGTTTCAGGTAGACTTTCAAGACTCCCATACACGTGTATCCAGGCTCGCTGATCGGATGGAATTAGAGTGAAAAGAGCCCATGGTGGTAGACACACCTATGATCTCAGCACTGGGGAAGTGGGCTATCCTTGGTTACATAGGGAGCACAAGATCAAGACGTTGCTCCCAAAATAAATAAATAAGTAAAAATCCAAACCCATGGGGCTGGAGAGAGAGCTCAGTGGTTCCGCGCTCTTAGTGCTCTTGCAGGGGACCCGGGTTTAATTCCCAGCACCCACACAGTAGCTCACAAACTTGTAGCTATTTCCAGGGTTTCCTGACACCTCTTCTGATCTCTGAGGACTCTGAGGACACATGGAGCACATACATACACTCAGACCGACAGACAGACAGACACACACCCCAAAATAAATAAAATCAAAAACAAAATCCCCAAACTAAAACAAACCAAAACAGCAAACGCCCCCAAAGAGCCCTAAGAGGTAATGTTCCACTTTAATCTCTTCTCAGCATCAGAGCTGGAAGCTCACGGACGCCTAAAGTAAACCTTGGAGAGGTAGGTACCACAACCCAACCAGGACTCAGACAGGAGGGCCTGGGATCGGAAGTGTGACTTCTGGCATCCCGATAAGAATGCTGGCCCCCGCGTGGTCTCCAGGGTGTTCTTGAGGAGTTTATTCAGAGGTGAGAAGGAACTGGGGGTGGGGTGGGGCACCGTGTAAGTACTCCACTTGGTGCTGACGCAGGCAGCCGAGTTTGCTCAGCAAAGCCATTTGCACGGCACATTAATCTTAACGCTTAATAGCCGGTTACAGACCGACACAGTGAGTAACAAACAGACATCGCTCATGCCCTCCCATCTGAGTGTCTCCAAGGGCCTCATCAGCGCTAATTATGCCCCCGAACCCTTGTGAAGTGGTGCGTGGTGGAGTTTTATGAACATTTAAAGTCACGGACAGCTGCCACCGCCCAGGGGTTACACAGTTTGAACACACATTCACCAGCTGCCCTCAGGGCTTGGCACGAGGCGTTCAGAGCCAAGAAGGATCCTGCCTGAGTTTCCTCCTCCAGCCTCAGAGCTTGAAGACAGGACTCTAGCTCTGGAGGCTTGGCCAACGGCTTCCTCACTGGACCCCCAGCAGCTCCCTCAGTTGCTGAAGAGTTATCCTTGGTCCCTGGGGGAATTATTCACAGCGAGAGGCACCAAGTATATGACCAACACTGACTCTTAGGAACTCGAAACACAGACATGGCCCTTAAGGTGCAAAGGGTAACAAGCAGGTCCCAGCTGAGGGGCGTGAGGTCCACACTGCCTGGTGGAGGAGGCTAAAGCTGTCTGTGTGTTCTGAGAACCTATCTCCTCGGAGGGGAGGGGCGAGTAGTTGGAGGCCCCGCCTCCTCCAGTCCTCACCAGGCTCCAGCTTTCCAGCAGAGAGCGGAGGTGACAGGATGAGCGGCAAATGCTGTCAGGCACTGCTTCTCACAGACATCACCTGAGGAGGCGCGAGACCGGGCCAGCGGAGCAGATCATGCCCATGCATGGCCAGTAGGGCCCAGCTCAAGCCAGGGCTCTTTGCCCCCCTATAATTTTGGGATGAGAAGCAGCAATGGGCCTTATGTTTAGGATAATCATACATTACCTAAAGGGAGACACCTCAGAATGAAAGGGTGCCCCACTCAGCGGCAAAAGCCAGGGGTCCCGGTCATCTCTTCAGTGAGACCTCTGGGCCACAGTGTCCTCAGAGTGAAACTTGGAAAGGGACCGTTGGACAGAGGCGGTGACATTTCAGACGACTTCCTGCCAGGCTGCAAGCTCCCCGTAACCTTGGTATCTCAGGGAGACAGTGGAGAGGCCAGAGGTGCCTCTCTCTGCTCCTCTAGGGATTCAGGACAGCAGACCTGAGTGGGGTCCTGCCTCTGCTACTTCCTTGCTGTGTGACTTTGGGGAATGACCTCAAGTCTCTGGGCTATAATAGAGAGCTGAAGCAGCACGCGGTGTAGTAAATCCTGAAATGATTCTTGCAACTGCTATGGTTTGTCTTCATATTATTTTCTTTTATTTTGTCAAAGACAGCATTTCCTGTAGCTTAGGCTGGCCTTGAACTCACTGTGTACCCGAGGATGACCTTGAATTTCTGGTCCTACTGCGCTGCCTGCACTCCTAAGTGTGCCAACAAGCCTGTCTCCCATGGCTCACTTTCACTATCTTTCTTTTTTGTTTGTTTGCTTCGTTGTTTTTGTTGTTATTGTCATTGTTTTGTTTTCTTGAGACAGGGTTTCTCTGTGTAGCTTTCACTGTTGTGGAACTCACGCTAAAGACCAGGCTGGACTCACAGAGCTCCATCTGCCTCCCGAGTGCTGGGATCTCCTGTGCCCACTTCGCACCTCCCCCTGCACCACAGGGCTGTGGGTTGCTGAGGGGCAGGACCAGCTCTCCCACAGATGCAGGGTCCTGAAGCTGATGTTTTCTAATCCAAACTGATTTTTTTTTTTTATCCCCTATGACTCTGAAAGGAAATGAAATGCTTCCAGGAAGGCAGCTGCAGGCGAGAGGCAATCCCTGTATGTGGATCTTGGCATCCACGAGAGTCAGCTCACACGCTAGGGTCTAGGTCCCCCTCAGGTCTGCTCCCATCAGCCTCCATTTAAACACCACCAGCAACACAGCCACCTCTTGGAGCTTAAGCTGATCTCCCACAATGCTTTGGGCTTGGGGCTGTAAACAGGTAAGTTGCCTCCTGACTGGCTTTGGGTGGCTGGCATTTCAAAGAAGGTACCCCAGCGAACCAGGTCTGCCACACCTGCAGCTTGGCTTCAGGCCACCTCCCTGACGCTGTCTTTTGCAGGCGAGGCATTACCTGCCTTGTGCCAGCCATCCCTCCACTCGTGGTAGAAACAGAGGGAGTCTAGCTGAGTGCCCGGAACAATATAAACAGCATAAAATGGTGGCCAGGACCCTGGGCCTTGGCGCTGAGTAGATGGTTCAAATTCCAGCTTTTACATAGACTGTGTGGTTGCAGGAAAGTTAATGAGCTTCTCTGTGCCAGTTTCCTTACGTGTAAGATGAAGTTAGAAGACTCGGAAGGATCAGCACAGTCCCTGCTACAGTCAATGCTCAGCACACACGGATGCTTATGGCAAAGTCTGTTAATTAACTATGGACAAAGGACCGATATTTCCCACTGGGAAGTGTTGGAACACGCGATAAAGGATTTGGGTGGACTGGTAGAGTTTCCCAAGCAGAAATGGATGACTCATGTGACTTGGGGTTCCTCATTCTGGGCATTCCAGCCATCCTCCTAATTACCCCAAGGGCGGATTCTAGCCTCACCTGCAGGTCTATGACTTTCCTAGGCTTTAACTCAAGACATAGCAAAGCCAGGACTCAACGTCAGCCTGTCTGAGTACAAAGTCCGAGGTCTCAGCACTCTACTCTGCCACTCTCTGCTCTAGTTCTTCCCTCCCTCCCTCCCTCTCTCCTTCTTGGTGGAGGGGCAGGGATAGAGTCTCACTATGTAGCCCAGGCTGGCCTGGAACTCACAGAAATCCACCTGCCTCTGCCTCCCAAGTCCTGGGATTAAAGGTGTGCACCACTATGCCCAACACCACATTTTTTTTATTAAATATTTATTTATTTATTTAGTATACAATATTCTGTCTGCTTATATGCCTGTAGGCCAGAAGAGGCGCCAGACCTCATTACAGATGGTTGCGAGCCACCATGTGGTTGCTGGGAATTGAACTCAGGACCTTTGGAAGAGCAGGCAGTGCTCTTAACCACTGAGCCATCTCTCCAACACCACATTTTTAACACCACATTTTTTCTTAAGGGCAGGCGTCGTGGACGCCTTTTCCTCTCCTGGACTCCAGGGGAGATGATCTCAATCATCCACACAACTGCCCAGGTTTGCTGGACCGGGATTTGCAAAGGGAGAATAAGGGGGAGAGGATGCAGGCAAAGAGATGTGTTCAAGGCTGAGCCAGAGCTCCCCAAGAATGGCTGGTAATCAGCTAGGACTGAGGAGCCATCACAGACTCCACCCCTTCATTTGACAAAGATAGAAACCAAGGCGCTGAAAGAGAGGGCCTGACTGTCTGAGGTCAGACGTGACAACGAAGCTGAGCTGGATTCTAGGTCTCCCGATGCTCACTGTGGCTGTTCTACCTATCACTCACCTCCCTCCTCCAAGAACAGGGCAGTGGCCCTGAGGCAGGTGGAAACTACAGGCTTTCACAGAAAGAGTAGAGAGCAAGAAAACCATGCCACCTTGACTTTGAAACAGACCCAACTCTGCATGGGAGCTACCTAGGTGGGATGGAACCAGCGAGGAACGTCAGGGCCGGCTCTTGCCCTCTCTGCAGCGAGCCCAATTCCAGGCAGACTCTCGGAACTCCCATACGTGTGTATCCAGCCTCCCTGATCGGATGGAATTAAAATGAAAACAGCCCTTTCATTCTCCTCCTGTGTCCCTCTCCCCAGCACCTGCCCTGGCCTACGGGGTGAGAGGAGCACTCAGGAGTCTGCTGAAGCAGAGAGGGCACTGGCTGAGGAGCCATGATGCCAGTGAGGTTGTTAAGAGCATGCTACCGTAAAACCTCATGCATCAGTTTCCTTGTCCCCACAGTGGAGATGAAAATGCTGCTAGAGCCACCTGCTGAAAGTTGCCCATCGCATGCGGGTCACTGTTCCAAGCTTCAAGTGGCCGGATTCACTGGCTCCTGCTAACTGCCAGGAGGCAGGTGTTACTGTCACTTTGAGGTGAGAAAGAAAGTATGTACTTTCAGTGTCGATGAGAAGACTGTCGGGGAAGATACATTTGAAGAACGCAGCCCAGCACTGGGGCAGAACGAAAGCCCAATGCTCGTGACTTGTTGAGATTCCTATCGTCACACAGAGCTAAAAATAAGCCGGAGCTTCTATCAATGAGCTACATGATCTCAAGTATGTCCCTCCCCACCGTTTGCCTCCAGTTCCCCAATCCATCAAACCAGAGCGTCTGGTGATCTCCAAACCTCCTTCAGCCCAGGGTGTTATCAGTCTCGACTGTGAGACAACTTATTTCATTTTATGCACACGTGTGTGCACCTGAGTGTATGCATGTGCACCACATGTAGCAGGACCCAAGGGAGATCAGAAGAGGAGTGGGATCCCCTGGATCTGCCATGTGGGTACGAGGAACTAAACCTGAGGCCTCTGCAAGAGCAGCCAGTGCTCCTAACCACTGAGCCATCTCTCCAGCCCCTGGGATGGGTCCTTTAATTGTTAACTCATCACAACCGAGAGTCACCTGGGCAGAAAGGCTCAATGAAGGATTGCCCAGATCTGGTTGGCCTGTGGTTATGTCTGTGGGGGCTGTCTTAGGTTAACGGATGTGGGAAGAACCGCCCACTGTGGGCGGCACCATTCTCTGGAGGAAAGGGAGGAAGGGAGCTGAGCACTAGCATGCATACTTGTGTGCATTCTTTGCTTTCTGAGCCCGATTATGGATGTCATGTGACCAACTCCCTCAAGTGCCAGCCACTGTGACTTCATTGCTATGACAGGCTGTGACCCGGAATTATGAGCTTCTCCCTGAAGTTGCTTCTATCCCAGTGAAAGGAAATAAAACTAAGGAACCAACTGATTCAGAGGAAAACAAAAAACAAACAAACAAAAAACCCGATTCCAGTCTTTATATGCTTCCTTAGGGAAGCCAAAGTCTGACACGAAAACCTTTATCTATTCATAGGAAATGATCTGAAACACACCCAAGGAAATCATCCGAGGTGAGTACCAGGGACGGCCCTCAGTCATGGTCACAGTCACATCATCCCATAGTCTAAAAACCTAAGTGCCCAACCACAGGGAAGCTGTCATGCAGATTCCCACAGAGCAGCTCAACAGGCTACTGGACAGTCATCCTGGAAGCCTGTGGCGGGGGACATATTCCACGGTCAGTGCTGTGGGGAAGTAGTCCACCAGGAGGGGGAACTGAAACAGGGGATCCCAAACCTTCTGAACAGTGTGGCTCCATATCTTAAAACACTAGAAAAAGACAAGGCAGACTGAGATGTGAACAGAGAGACTCTCAACTAAAACCCAAATCTTCTGGACTGGAGAGATGGCTCGGCAGTTAAGAAAGAGTACGCACACTACTCTTAGAGAGGACCTGGGTTCGGTATCCAGCTCCCACATGCTGACTCACACCCATCTATAACCCCAGATCCAGAGGAAACACCATTTCTGACCCCCTGGGCAAGATGCACAGACACACACACATACATATAAAATAAAATAAATACCAATAAATCTCAAATCTCCTAACTGGAAGTGTATCCAGTTTTAACTCCGCATTTAATGTATTTTTTCAACATTTGTATTTATCAATGCGATTTCAGTGTGTGTGGTGTATTTGTATGTGTGTGCAGGTGCAGGGCCATCTGGAGGTCAGAGGTCAACCTCCAGAGTTCTCACGATTTGTTCTTTATCTCATTGTTTGCTCTCCACCTTAATACTGAAGCCAGGGTTTTTTGGCTTGAACTCAGAGCTGGCTGACCTGGCCAGTCTAGTGAGGCAGCTTGCTCCAGGGCCTCTCCTGTCTCTGCCTCCTGTGGGCTGGGATTATAGACAGCCTGCCAAAATTGCCTAGCATTTACATGGGTGCTGTGGATCCAAACTCCAGCCCCACCCTTGTCCGGTAGAGCACTCTCCTGCCTGAGCCATCTCCCTAGCCCTAGTTTTATGTGTTTGAGCTAGTATTTCTTACTTTTCGATTCCACGTTGCGCGCTATGGTAGAGCACCTGCCTGTCTCAGCTAGTGATCAGCATACAGACACAGGGGACACCTGTGAGGCCATTTAGAAACCCACAACATTCCCAAAGGACAGTGAAGTGCTTGCCTTGTAGGAGAAGGATCCCTCGCTGCTGCTCAGGCTCACGGAGCTGCTGGTAGTCGGGAATGGCTGCAGCTGCAGGCCTGCGCTGTGGGCCCCATCCATGGCTGTCTAGTGGCGCATCCCACCTGGCCCGGCTGGGAGCTGGGGCTTCGGCTTCCGCTAGGCAGGGTGCAAACTGGGAGCCATCTCTCCCGGTGTTCCCCTCCTTCCGGCAGCCTCCTAGGCCTCTTCCTCAGCAAAATGCCTTCTTCTCTGGGCTCTCTGGGTTGATTTACAGCCTTCCCCTCAGGCTCCTCTGAGGCAGCTCATGGTCTCCCCCAAGCAGAAGGGCAAGGCGTGTCTTCTGACTCTGGCCAAGCTCTGTGTGGTGGAGAAGGACATGAAAAACTCATGCACACGAGACATAGCACCCAGCTTCATCGCTTGAGAAAGTGCTTCATGCAAAGCACGTCTGGACATGCAAAAGCGGACCACGAAGGCCTGATTGTCGGGCCTCTGACCCCTGAATAAAGAGACTGTCCTTTAAAAGCTTCATTCCTGGCCCTCAGACATCCCATTTCTTTTCCTCCTTCCTATCAATCCTAATTTAAACCTTCCTTTCCTTTATAAGCTTGAGGACAAAAGACTGTCCACATCCACTTCTCCGGGTCTCCAGAATCAATAGATAGATTCCATGAGCATCAAATAGGAACCATCCTCAGGTGTGGGGCACATGCTTGCAATCCCAGCACTCAGGGGAGGCCGAGGCTAGGCAGGACCACAGGATAGCCTGGGCGATATAAGGAGATCTTGTCTTATAGTAAACCAATCCAGCAGTAACAACACTAAAAACCCAACCCAACCCAACCACCAAATCATGGGGCTTTCAATTTAGGAAGGAAAGAATGTGAAGTAAATCCTGGCACGGGGGCAGGGTGCTCTTCTGGGAGGTGGGACCAGATGCCCATGTCAGTTTGGCTCTGGGTGACTCAGCGTCTTATCTGTAAAGTGTGGACTGTCATATGGCTTCAAGTAAGAGCAGGGATGACAATCACCCCTGTTAATGTCACTGAACTGGTGTTTTCAGTGTTTCTCAAACTTTTCCCAAACACAGAAGAGAAAACTCTGGCCAGCAGCTCATGGTCAAAACCCTACCACCATAGCAAAAGGTTCTGTAAAATCTTCTTACGCTTAGAAAAAAAAAAAAATCAAACATACAAAGCAAAATAACCCCGCCCAAAGCACCAACAAAAACCATACAAATTTAGATTCCATTGTACAATCTGCTTATTGTATTTTATGTTATAACATTTAATTTACTATTGTCGTGATGTGTAAGTACGAGCGCTATCGTGTGCCGATGGAGGTTGTGGGAGTTGGTTCTCTCCTCCCACAGTGGGTTCCAAGGATCGAACTCTGGCTGTCAGGCTTGCTGGACAAGCGCTTTCAGCTGCTGGGCCGTCTCACCGGCCCCTTCATTCATTCTGAATTGCTCTTGATCTGCCCTGTGCTCTCTGTGTACTGCTACCCGGTCGCTCAGCTTGTGAGTCAGTTTCCGTAGCTGTTAAATATGGATCATGTTTCCACCCCACTGGCTGCAGTAAGAATTTGACAGAATATGGCATGTGAAGGTGAACACAGTAGATGGCTGCCACATGCCAAACGCCACCAGTATTACTTTATTTAGTTCTGATTTTCTAACATCTTTATTGTGTGTACGTGCGTGCACACACGCATGCGTGACATAGCACACATCTGGAAGTCACAAGACAACTTTGCGGAGTCAGTTCTTCCACCCTACACGTTAGTCGTGGGGACTGAACTCAGCTCATCAAGGTTAGGAGCAAGTGCCCTGCGCCACTAAGCCGTGTTAGGCCCATTCTCCAATTTAATCCTGTATCTTATTCATATATACGCATGCTCCATCACCCAAGCGTGCACCCTAGAAAGAGTTAAGGGCTCAGTGTGTGCTAAACAGTCTCTGCCAAGGTCCAGGCCTCAAAACACTGTGTATCCCTCAGTTTCGGCTTCCTTCTGTCCCATGCCTATGAATGTCAATGACATGCACTGATGTCACAAGATGAACCTCATGCCCAGCACCGAGGAGATGCCAAATGCAGGCTTAGGACAGGGCAGCCACGAAGACCTGTTGCACCTTGTCAAAGGGCCTAAATTTACTCACGGCTGCTGTTTTCCCGCTGAGACAGAGTTCCTGTCTAAGACACCCTCATCGGGTAACTCGCTGACCCATGTTTCTTACCTGTAAGACCCGAAGAATACAGGACTGCCCAATGGCTGGGCAGGAGTAATTACTCTGCATTAGATTGTATGTGTGTGAAAGCAAGGCTGGGTTAACCGTCTGCATCTCTGTCTTGGCATCGTTAACGAGGGTGGGCTAGGGCTCCTTCTACCTGGGAGAGACCTAGAGCTGCATCCAGTCTGGGGCTGAAGGGGCCCCCTGCTTCCTCTGGAGACCTAGCTCAGAGCCTGGCAAGGTGACTGGCATATACACCCACTCCTGACTAAATGTAGAGCCCCTGGTATACTGTGGCAGAAAGAAAGAAAGAAAGAAAGAAAGAGAGAGAGAGAGAGAGAGAGAGAGAGAGAGAGAGAAAGAAAGAAAGAAAGAAAGAAGCCTTATTCAGGATGTATAACCACAAACAGATATACCCAGCCCCACCCACAGGATGTCAGAGAAAGCACATTAGCCTTGGGGACCAGCTAGAAAGGACAGCAGGAATTCAGGCCTTCTAACCTTCTCCAGGCCAGCTCTCTCTTCTCTTCCTTCTCTCTCTCTCTCTCTCTCTCTCTCTCTCTCTCTCTCTCTCTCTCTCTCTCTCTCTCTTTTAAACAGCAGCTCCAGCTTCCCTCTCTACCTGGGGAGCCCACAGGACTCTAAAAGCAGGAAGACAGAGCAGAGGGAGGCCCTCTCTGGGCTAGCACACAGTCACTCAGAGGCCTCCGTGGACTCTGCAGGTTGCACTCCCTTCTAAGGCTCACACTTTGGCCTGGTGACGGTTTAGTTTTGGTTTCAACGCACTTTTCCAGGACCAACATATGTCCAAGTGGCACACGGCCAACTCGGTGTTGACAGTCACAGTCATGGCGCATGGTCACTGACCCAAGAAGGGAAAGAGAATTCACCAAGTGCTTGCTTCCACTCCCGTCCCCCGGCCTCATCTAAACCAGTACTCCATTAATCCCACCGAGCAAGTTTTCCAGAGAGAAAACCAGCCTCACGGCCATGAAAAATAGATAACTTAGAAATCAGCTGTAACTGAAGACAAGGGTGTGTGTGTGTGTGTGTGTTGTGGAGGTCTTGCCACCACCTGACGATTTAGTTTGACTAGAGACTATCGGTTTCATGCCAAGCTTTCCATTCCTTCCCGGGGCTTGTGAGCACCGAAGGGTGGCATTCTCGGGTCCTTTCCCATTGAGCTGGACATTCCAGCGCACCGGAGACACACCTCTGTTCCAGTACCAAGCACAGGGCTCCGTCTAGCCATCTGCGAGCTCCGCCGGCTATTTCCAGGATGCTGGAGCTGGCAATACCTTCCACTTCCTCATCTGGTAACTCCCAGAATCACCTTCATTAAGGCCCACCCTCTTTGCAAATATGGAAGAAAAAAAATCGGAGGCAAAAGGACCCAAACAGACAAGGCTGGCCACAGCAAGGGAGACCGTATTTATACTAGTGACAGGTTAGATAGCTAAAAAATGCGTTGCTTTTCCTAAAACAGCAAGCCTGAATTCAAGTCCCCCTTCTCTCAGTCTTGACAGGACTCACCTGCGGCGTTGCTTCTTGATCCACCTATCCCAGGTTCCGGAGAAGCAACCGGGACACTCCGTGCCACCCTGAGGTACAGCCTCCTGGATCCCTTCCCAGCTCCGAGTTGCCAGGGGGCTGCAGTCAGTGTTTTGCTTTCAAAGGTCGAGACTTGATTTGTCACCCTGTCTGCCAGTCCCAGGCTGGCGGAGCTTCTGTGCAGGCGAGTGGCTGTCAGGAGGCGATGGGCGGGATATCATGAGATAATTGGCTGCGCTGCCAAGCTCGCTTGCAGCGTAGGGGCCAGACCTGACACTCACCTGGAGGAGTCCCCTCTAGCGGCCAAAGGAAGAAGAAGTCGGGGCTGCTTTGGTTCCCTGGGTAGGCAGCTCACCTCCACCTGCCCGACAGGTGGGCTGGGCTTGTGCAGCTCGCCTGTCGTCCCCTGCAACCTGCGCTAACAAACCACAGTCCTGGGAGGTGCCCCTGCTGCTCCCACCAGGTAGTGAGGCCCTCAGCAGCGGCACCCAGCAGAGCCGTGACGTGTCTCGGGGACCTTGCGTACCCCTTCTTCCCTGCGCCTGCGACCCACCTGTTGGCTGTGGCATCCTCTATCTCCCAGCACGCCTGCAGCTCAGCAATTCCGGAGGGCTGTCAATCATCCTAGTCCCCCGCTGCTGTTTCCCGGGTGTTCAGCTGTGACCATGAACCTACTCGTGGAGCTTCTAGCGCGCACATTTTCCTGCACACGCCATTCTGTTCAGAGCCTCACGGCAACCTCTGGGGGGAGATGTTGAGATCAGGCAGGTTTTACGAGGGAATGACATTGGGGCGACCCCGGCGACGGCAGGGGGCTCAGGTGAGGGGCCAGTAGAGCAGGGAGCCACCATATTGTATTATGGGAGAGGCTTAAGGACCAGCTGGGCTGGTGCGAGATTTTTTTCTTCAGGCGTGGGTGGCAGGAGCTGTGAGCAGAGAACGCCGGAGACAGTTTATAATAAAAGGAGTATCCCACAAATTTAAAGGAGCCACTGGTTGGTTCAAGGCAGGCTGCGAAGGGGCACTGTGACTGCGGTGAAACGGGTACGGGGCTCTTGGAAAACTGCGCGTTTGCCCTTGCGGAGTTGTATGATCAACCTTTTCTCGCGCGCTCAGGGCGTGGATGGATACAAACATTCAGGTTTATGCCTTGGGTAGGATTTTCTTAAGCCTTTGGTTCTAAGAATTTCAAGAAGTCGCCAAAACAGCAACAAAACCCCCAGACTCAGAAATGAAGTCCCTAATAGTTCCCTGCCAAGGATCCTGGCGTAATCAACCTAAACCCTAAAATTCTGGTAGCTTCTCTGCTGATTTTGAAACGGCTCTCACGATTGGCCAACAGCTTTTCACGTTAGAGAAACAGAGGACATCATTGGTTAGAGTTAGCCGGTCGCCTGCCACCGGCCTCTGGAATGTTAGGCCAGTGGTTGCCATAGCGACTGGGCGGCAACCCCTTGACTAGGTGGGAGCCTGCTCTTGTTGAGGGACCGGTCCTTGAGGTCGTGAGGAGGACTCTGCGCACTCCATGGGACACCCACTGAGACCTCCGGACTCCGGGTGTGTGCGGAATGTCTGTGCCCAAACTGGGTGGTGCCTCCAGGGCCAGAAGGTGCCACTTGGGGTGGGGGTGGGGTCAGTGTATGCCCCATCTGGAAAGTGCTGTAAACTATGGTTCGCCTTCCCCTCGGATCCTGTGAGTGGTGTGGACATCTGACTCTCCTTACTTCCGTCTTTGAGGGGCACTGGTGCTGGGCCGCGCACTGGCGAACCACCAAGAGCCCAGCTCTAACAGGGCCCCTCCGGTACATTGGGTCTTCCTCACAAGTCTCCCTTATTTTGGGCCTCATTTATCCAAGGTGAGACCGGAATCTTGGGGCCACTAACCAGCTGCTACAGTTTCATCTACCCTCCCTCCCCCCACTCACCAAGTAAAATACCTAATGGGGCATCTTCCCCAGGCTTCAGAAAGTCTCTTGGGTCTCTTGTGCCTCCCACTTCCTACGGGAAGAATGTTCTAATTGGAGATCAGTGTAGATTCTCCGCCAGGACCACCCAGGAACTGCTGGATGCTCACCTGGACCTCATCCTGTTCCAGGTTAGGCTCTACCTGTTCTCTATGAACTGCCCCTGGAAAACAAGATTGACCATGTTACCTTTTGGTGACAGGATAATGTATTTGTTTGACATTTTTATAATTTCTTAAAATTTACAAAATTTGATAATTTGCACAAGAAACATAATTTTTAAAAATATCTTGCAAATTTTTCTTTTTTAAAGACAGATCCAACTGTGTTGCACTGATTAGCCTGGAACGCACTATGGAGGGCTGGCCTTGGACTCGGAGAGTTCCAGCCACCTCTGCCTCCTGAGTTCTGGCAGTAAATGACTAAACCCACAACACTAGGCTTCCACAGTTCTTTTTGTTGCCAGTTTTTAAGCTCATTTTTATTTATCTTATGTCTATGGATCTTTTGTCTGCTATATGTCTGCGCACAATGGACGTGTGTGGTGCCAGAAGGGGCATCTGATCTCCTAGGACTGGAGTTATACATGGTTGTGAGCTCTCCATATGATTGCTTAGAGCCCAGCCCAGGTCCTCTGAGGGGGGGGGGGACAACAACAACAACAACAAAACCAGCAGTGCCCTTTAACCCCTGGGCCATCTCTCCAGCACTGCCATTTTGGTTTTTGAGATAGGGTCTTGACAGCCCAAGCTGGCCTAGAACTTAGTGTAGACTAGGCTAGCCTCGAACTTCCGATCCTCTTGTCTCTACTTCTTGAGTGCTTGGATTACAATACGTACTACTGCTGATTAACCTGGGGCTTTGTGCTTCTTAGGCAATGCTCTACCAAAGGAGCCACATTCCCGGCTTTCTCAAACTGCGACTTCATTAAAGGTAGGGCCGCAACCAGTTCTTCCTAGAACAGCAAGGCCACACTGCAGTGTGGCTAGCGAATACCAGCGGCTTTCAGAGGACTCTCAAAGACGTTGTTCTGTGGTCAGTATTGATCATTGTTTTGAAATACCTTAACGTTTTAAAGCGGTTGTTTCTCATGCTCTTATTAAACGCTAAAATCCTAGGTTATTCAAAGAGGCTACAAATTGCAGCTGTGAAGATGCATTCAGCTAGGAGCCCACGGAGGAAGAAAGGCCTGCACACACCTTTGCTTGCTCAGTGCTCCCTTCATTAGTGTTTAGAGATGGTGTGAGCTCCTTAGGGGGAAAAGGGAAATGAATCCCGAGTCTGCTCATGAAAAATGAACGGCTTTGGCGATGAAACTGCGCTCGTGCTATTGACAACTAAAAACAAAGAGAACAAAACAGCCCCAGCGGCGTAGACTAGAAAACTCTTCGGCTCTCAGGCAGCAGGTGGCACAACAATGCAGTCCCCGAGGGATGTTCCCTTCGCTCAGTGAGGGAGTCCTTTCCAGACTGCACCATGGGCAGCAGGGGGTGGACACAGACTGTGGCTTTCTGAGTTGAGGCACATTCATGATAGTTCGCATCTTGGATGGCCCCCAAAGCCTGTATATTGAGAGCTTGGTCCCTGGTCTTTGGTGGTACGGGGTGTGTGTGTGTGTGTGTGTGAACCTTTATTTGATGGTATTGGGGGCTTGTGGAACGCTTAGAAGGTGGGGTCTAGTGGGAGGAAGTTGTGTCACTGGGTTGTGATCTTGAAGGAGATGCTGGGATCTGGCCCTTCCCTGTTTCTCTTTGCTTCCTGGATGCTGTGCAGGGAAGAGACCCCTTCCACTACGCTGTGCTCCTGATGTCATGTACAGAGCTGCCATAGGCCCTGAGCAGCAGGACAGTGACTAGAGACGGAAACCCTTGAAGCTGTGAAGCCCTGAATTTACCACATACAGGGGGGCTTGGATGGTGGTGCATGCCTGTAGCCCATCAGTCAGGAGGGAGTGGGAGGAGAATCAGAAGTTCAGGGTCAACCTTAGCTGCAGAGTGAGGTTGCCAGCCTGAGCTACAAGAGACCCTGTTAAAAGAAAAAAAAAGTATCATGTCTTACTAGTGAAGATAAACTTCTTCCCGAAAGAAAGCTGTTCTGAACCTTTCAAAATTTCAAAGCTTGGAGGGGTCCAATGACTCTGAAAATTACTGAAAATGAGTCAGGGGGCTGGAGAGATGGCTCAGCAGTTAAGAGCACTGGCTGCTCTTCCAGAGGCCCTGAATTCAATTCCCAGAAACGACTGGGATGGCTCACAACCATCTTTAATAAGATCTGATGCCCTCTTCTGGTATGCAGGTGTACATGCAGACCAGTCATACATAAAATATAAATAAAATTTTAAAAATGAGCCAGGAAAATATGTAAATGTGCAAGAATGGAACTTTCAAACTATCTGAACCCAGTACAAAGATCAAGGAAAATGTGACCCCAGTGCCAGCGATGACAGAAGCAGCAGAAAAAGGTCCTCAGGGCAGCCAGAGCTGAAGGGGGCTGGACAGGGAGGTCTTTCTAAAAACAGAAAGAAAGCAAAAGATGCTGCCCAGGGGGTCAGGAGCAGGTTAGTTTTCTCCACTGATTAAGAATTAAAAGGCAGTAGAGAGATGTTCCCCAGAATCTTGGGGAGTCCCAGCAGGGCCTCAGATGACACTGGAGAAGTCTGCGTCCTTTCTTCGGGGTCTCGGTTTCATTAATGAAAGGATTTAAGAATGAACACAAACAGAAGCGTGAGGACAAAGAGCTGACTCAAACTGAACTCAGAACAGTATTAGAGGTTGAAAGGAGAAGGCGGTGAGCTAAGCCTCACAGTTGCCTGGAAGGGAGGAGCTGGATGAAGAAGAGAAGCTGGAATGGAGGTCAAAAACATGGCAGGGACAGGATCTTTAGAAAATGATTAAGGAAGCTCAAAGCATTAGGGAGTTTAAAAGCATACTTGAGCTCTGGCCAGCATCTGAAAGGAACAGAAGAAATCGTTATACCTGGGGGGACAGAGCCAGCAGAAGGCCACGGCAGCTGGTTAGGACTGCACTGGGCTGGGGGAGGTGTACACTTCCTTAAGGTAAACCTCCCTTCCCATGGGTGTCCCCCAGACAGCCCCCAGACCTGTCCCAGCTGATTAACCCTCAAGGAAAGAGACCTGTGTCCACCAGGAGACAGATTCCTCCTATACAGCTCCCACAGGATCCTAGGCCAACAAGGCAAATCAGTCAGCTCCAGGTTCAGCATGAGACTTTGTCTCAAAAGATAAAGTGAGCAACTGAGGAAGACGTTCGATGTGGATCTTCACATTCATTCATGCCTACACATGAGCGCACACAGGCCGTAAGGTCGCATCTAGAAGTGAAAAAAAAATACAATTAGAATGAAAACAGTTGGTAAGAGTCACAGAAAGACTAGATCAGAGAGTCTGAAGGCAGAGCAATTCAGGTTGTCTGAACACAGTACAGAGATTAAACAAGGCTGAACTTCAAAGACAAACACACTCTCAACCACCATAGGGAAACACCAAAGTGTTTAATGCACCTATAACTGTCACCTTGGAAAAGGAGAGAGCAGAAGGAACTATTTGAAGAATGAATGCAAAGTGTTTTCAGAATCTGTTGGAAACATAAACCTGTTGATTCAGGAAATGAAGCGAATCCCAAACATTAAAAACCCTGAAGAAAATCATGTCAAGGCTGTTGTAATTTAAAAAGCGGCATGAGAGAGAAAAACACCATGCGACAGAACTCATGTGAAGGTTTTTTTTATTAAGGGAAAGGGAACATAAAAGGGGGAAGAGAATGGGAAGAGGAGAAGCAAATGGCCTAGTCTGCAAAG